TAAGAATTTATTATCAGTCGGTACACTCGAGTACTAAACAGAAACACGAATATTACGTTTACTGGAAACTAGCCAATACGCGATAAATAAGCACGCAGGTGCACGAGCACCGATCAGATTATATACAAAAATGTCGCCTAAGCGAGGGGAACCTGCCGGTGTAAACGCTTGTCAGAGATTAGATAACTCACAGTACACAATCGATATCTCCGTGATATGCCTCGCTTCGCTTTTACAGCATACAAGCGAGCGTGATTTCAGCGAAGAGCAAACTTAAATGTACGAGCTTGATTATTGTCAAGGTCTGTGTGGGTGAAATGAATGAGAGGCGTTCAACGAGTGAATTTTCACGAAAAATCCAGCCGAGAGATATTTAAAAATGACAGGAGTTTAATATCGCCAAGTTGTGACCAATATCCTCGCGAATGTTTAATAAATCGAAAATCTCGCGTATATTAAATATTATACTTTGATATTACCATGTCCGAATATATTGTGCCACGGGTTACAAACGCGACTCGCGAAAATTCTGGCAATTATTGAATATGTACGATAAAGAAATAATTATATTCTGACGTATTTATAAATTGCAAGATTTGCAACGCGATTTTGAAATTATTTTGAAATTCGTATATTGAGAAAAATTGTGAAACGTATTTTATTTTAAGATATTTATCACTTGTATTGTATATATGATCGTTGTATTAAAATTTTATTTATTAATTCCCTATTATAAATTTTGTCATTTAACTAATAAATAGTTAGTTAACAACAATTATCGTAATATTGTTATATATTATTATCGAATTATTATTAATACGATTTATTATTTATTACTTATTCATACGTATATATTTTATGCTTTAGCATCTCATATTATTCGATTCGTTAAGATATTAATTGAAATTGAAAGTTTCTTTTATGTGCCACGAATGTCACAAATTATTTGAAAAATTATACCAAATAATAATGTTAAACCTCCTTTGTGTACTGCTTTTATTATCAGATAAAAAAGACTGCTTTAGACGTGTAATTATCGAAAGCTGTATTTAAAACAAATTTACAACGTCATATTCGACTTTTCCAGCGATTTTAGTGACGTAATACAGAAATTTATTTTTGTCAAAAAATATAACAAACATACTGCTTTCTTAACACTGGAACCACGTAATACTTCTCTGTATATAACATGATACAGCTTCTGAATTTTATTTTTGTAAAAATGGAGGAGGATTCATCTCTCCTTAATATACGTTCCACGCCCAAAACGTCACGAAGAGTGTCATATTTTTTATCAGGTAATATTTTATTTTTATAAATTTATTTTTACTTTGCTACTAGCATTCGCGTTACGAAACGCGTATTTTTAAACTACGAATATTTCTTCCTCGCTAATTTTCCTCTTTCTATTTTTTAAAGATAAGGGATATTGTTACCATTTAGTATGTAATTCGAACAAATGTGCCGAGTTCAAAGTGGCAATTGTTCGACTCTATCAGTGAATACACAATTCTATCAGTTTCCTCGTTCGAGGAAAGCATTTCGATTAGCCAAGTTCCCGTGGAATAACATTTTAGATATGAGGGCATTTTAAATAATCCACACTAGCCAGATAAGGGAGATAAATTTAATAATTTTGTAGCGAAAAAATTTTACGTGCGAATTTGCATTTGGGTTCGTAAATTTGTAATATTTATAGCAGAATTGTTTTTCGAATAACTTTTTCCCTTCTGCCGTATTAAAAAATTTTTAGCATATATTTCGATTATTTGAGGCATTTTTAAAATTTTATTTAATACTCGTATTACGATTATTAATACTCCAAAGTTAATAATAATTCATAATATTCACGGGATAATTGTTCTTATAACTGATTTTCTTTTTCTGTTAATTAAACTTTACCAAAATTGAAATTAAGAAGTATTTGAAATATTTTGAGAATTTTTAAAACATGTAAGTTTTACTAATCCCTGATATTTTAAAACCGCCTATAATTTATAATATCCATAGGACACATACTTTTAATAATTTCTTTTTATATATATATATAGTCCAATTTTTATATATAAATAAATACTTATTTTATTATCTATAATATTTAATTGCCAATAAGAATAATGTTTTAATGACACACAACCTAACACTTGACTCAACCTTTAACTTCTGCTCTTGCAACACAATGCATTAATAATTCATCACACTAAACTTCCCATTGAAACACTACTTCCAATGCAACGAATGGAACAAATATCACAGCTCAACAAATTTCATTCTCTGAAATTTATAATTTCTCCAATGAGAAATTTTTAAATTTCCCTTTAATTCGTACAATTTAAAAATAAATTATTATTCCATATTTAATTATTTAAAATACGTTCGGACGCGAGCTGCAATTTATTTTATTTCCCGATAAAGTGAATTCGACATAGGAGATCGTCGTTTCACTTTTTACGCTTTTCGTCGTTCGTGACGAGAAATCATGGCACTGTCAGCGTGTCATTGAAAGTTCCCTGACTCTCCGTTAGTCAAGCGCAAGTACCTATTAGAACTTCCGGTATATCGTTGTTTCTTACAACTGCAGATGACAAACTTGGGAAAATCATCGATCACTTATCGAGTACAATGAGGCATGCCCCAGCGCGGTTAAACGCAAACCATACTAATCAACTAACGGAATGATAAAACACGGTTTAGCGATATGTGCCGTTATTGTGCACCCGATTGCCCTCTTTCCATATGTATTGCACGCGTTAATCCCTGTGTTAATGGACTTTTAATGCATTCTTAATCTGAGTAAGACTAAGACTATTGCTTGTTAAGAATATTTATCTTGCGTAATGCTTTTAAGGATCACGAACGTGTTAAAAGTAGAAAATTATAGAGCAAACGCAGAAAATATGCAGAAAAATTAATTTCTTGAATTTTTGGTTTTGCAACATTCGTGTGGTAGAATATCTTCATTTCGGAAGATTTATGGTTACCGATGTTTCGGTCTTTAAAATTTTTCTGTATTGGATTCTCATATTGCGAAATTGACAAATCTTCAGATGTGAAAATTTTTTAATTTTTTCATTTGCAAATTCGCATATCTTTCCAATTTTCCAATTATCGAGTTTGTTAATTGTCAAGCTCTCGTATTTTCCAATTGTCGAATTTTCAAGTTTCCCAATTCCCGAGCTTTTTAATTGACCAATTTTCAGCTTCTCCAATTATCGAATTCCTGAAATTTATCAATATTCGAGTTTTTTTAATCGTCAAACTCTCGAATCTTTTGAGGTTCCAATTTTCAGAACGTCAAGTTGTCAAATGTTTAAACTGTCGAATTCTGAAATTTTCAAACCTTTAAACTGATACTCTTTTTTAATTTAAAACTCACAATTATTTGGTTAAAAGAGTGTTAGATTTTTAAATTGTCTTCGATTTTAAGATATGAAATAGTTATTTTTAAAAAAGTATTCTAATGTTTCACAAAATGTGAAATGTTATTTAGCTTCTAATATTGCTGAAGGATTTATTAATACAGAAATAGTAAGATCTCTAATCACTGAAAAATAATCTATCTCCAATATTTAGAGTAAATAACTAAACACATCTGAGTCTCTAAACCAATATAATCGTGATACAAAAATACATCAAATGTGCAATTTTTAAAAACTGTTATGTGTATACATATTAAAATTTACAATGATAAAAATAACCATATCTATCTTTATTTAATAATCAATATATAATAATAATAAAAAATTTTTACTATATTTTCCTCACTATCTTCTCATCCATCTGTATCTTATTTAAAATTTAATTCCTACACAGATTTTAACGGTATTCTCATTTTTTTTTTTTTTTTTTAATATTTTAGTCAACACTTTTAATAATCACAAAGTTAGATCACACGACGTTACATGCAATATACATTTCATTAAAAAGTTCGGAATTAGAAACTAACTAAACATGCAGCAACATTAGCTCAAGACCTTATCAGGAGGAGTTTCTCTAATTTCATAAATCCTACAAAACCTGAAGACATAATGTCTTCATCACGATCAATATTACTTTTGATAAACTAACATTTATGCACGACGTAAGTTTCTATCGATCACATTAATTCAAATGCCTTATAATCCAATTTTTATATTACAAATTTCATTTCTAGTCTAATCACTTCTAGATAGAACTATTTCAGACGATTCAAGGTTAAGAATATATCTCGAAATGCTGTTCACAATTGACTCTACTTTTACATTTCTCGAATCAATAACGTATCTACCGTCAACACAATTCTGTCAAATTAAGTTGTCATACGAAAATACATTAATGTTTCATATGTCAAAATCAGAATAAATGAATGGAAGTAAAATTTCGAGTTCAGCTCGACACAGAAACCCAGAGAGTGAATTTTAATAAAGACATTCCATCGTGTGAACGTTGTTTCCTTCGTTATCGACCCAAGAAAATTAGCAAATAAGTCAGAAAATCGTCTGAAGCAACTATTACGCCTCGCTTACAGTAAATCGTACTGTACCGCTAAATCGTGGACAATCATGCACGTACAATTTGCCATTCGCGAGTGCCTGCACAGCCTTCCCGCGCTTTTTTCGTAATCGAATCACTGGCCGATTCGTTGCGAAACAATCGCGCGCTTCCCCTAACGTAAACGGTTGCGTTTCACGTCATGCACAATGAGCAAATTTCATGCTCTGTTTCGTTCGAACAGCGGCACACCGCGAGAATAATTCGAGCAGCCTGGAACGAATAAAAGGAACAAAGAAAGAAAAGAAGCGATCGATCGCTCATGGCCATGATTTGCCAGCGCGAGATCTTCGGACCGTCTGGCTAGATCCTTCATAGGCAGACCTCGATAGATGCCCGTTCCTTGCGAGAAGGAACGAGATTTTCCGAGGGAAATGAAGGCGAGCGAGAGAAAATGAGATGCGGCGTGTGAAAAGAGAATGAAAATAAATTAAAACGGAGAAAAGAATATGATCAGCATGTAGCGTTACCTTGGCAGTCGTCTCTGAAGTGTTGAGATTTTGGCGGCGGCGGAGGTGCGTTCGAGTATTCTATGGACGAACCGAAACAAAGAAAAAAAAAAGGAAAATAATAATTAGCCGCACTACGATTACCATGAAACAATAATCACTCAGCAATGTGGGTTCACTGTGAACATTCAACGCTGTCACGGGTTAATGGGACGCACTCCTGATAGGCATCGATCGATATTGGTGTCCCGGAACGGACCATGTTTCCAATTTTTTCAACGATGCGTTAGAAAGGATCAGATTGTATTTTGGAAGAGATTACACGAGGGTTGTAACAGGCGAGTGGAAGGGTGAATAGTGTTTCGGTCTCAGGAACTTGCCACTTTCTTTAATATTCTTCTGTAGGAAGGTGAAGTCTTGCTCCCCTGACTCGAAGTCTTTGGGAGCTTCAAATTTGTATAGCGATTCGCAAACGACGTTAAACCGAATATTTAAAGTGATACGAGTTGTTGCTTAAAAGACAAAAGTAAATTTAGAAGAATTTAGATCAATAGTTAAGAATAAAAAATTAATAAAAGCATTTTGCGAGGAGATGTTACTGTCTAAGTATCTGATAGACACTGCTCCAATTGAGTGGCAGAAAACAAGATAACTCTCATTGAAACGTTTATTACAGAAGAATAAAAATCTCCGGATATTGGTTATATCGAAATTCGCAAACTGTTTTTGCTATTTGCAATTCAAGGATATTCAAGAACTCTATAATCCCGAGTAGTCATAGAAACAAGGGCACTGCAAAATCCAACTAACGTCTATATAATAGTTCTAAATAATAATTCACGTTCGTGTGAATGATTCTTTACTCCGTTATTATTCGCGTCACTTCGAACAATGAACTCAAGATGGCGATTTCCGGTAGCCGATCTAAAGAGACAAAGAGAACGCTATCGATTAACCATAGAGGATCATAGGTCAAAGTACGTAGAAGAGAACCGAGATACGATGAATTTTAACAGTTATGAAAATTCAGACCTTCGAAAGTGACGGTAGGTCGAGCAGTGTAGATCGGAATCGGTGACCACCATGACGTGGCTTTTCGTCGTACCGTTGGCGAAGGAGGCGGAGGAGGTGGTTGGTACCTAAACCTCGGCCTATGTTTATCAGGATCGAACGGTTGGTTGGCAAAACCGTCAGACTGTTTCAAGATCGACGACGGACCTTTCGACGAACCGCATCGTACCTTCCCCACCACTTTACTCCCCTCGTTAATCCCCGTTTTCGTCTCAACGGTGCTCATCCCACTCCTCGATGAGGATTGTCTGCCAGCGAGGTCTGGCGGCGAGGACAACGAACGCATGTTATCTCGTCGACTGGGGTACCTGTGAGCCACCCACCGACCTGCCAGATAAGGAGCGATATCTCGTAGCTCGTGCACATCCGGCGACGAGGTGAACATCTCGCCCAGAATAGAGGTCCTTTGGCTAGCGAACTTCTCGAACTTCTTCCTCATGCGACCAACAGGTTTCCTTGCTTCCAGCTCTTTGGTTTCAGCCTTCCTGGCTACCGCGCTGGTAGCAGTGGACGTAGTAGCCAATGAATCCTTCAGCTCGGCCGTTTTGCTGATAACGTCGATGTGAGGCATGGCCAGGTCTTCTCGTCTCAGAGGAACACGTGGGATCGGTGGAGACTCGCCCCTGCGACGAGCCCTTCCTCTGCGGGGTTCGTACTTGCGGCGCAACCAGGCCACGTCCGCGAACTCGTGAGGTTTCAGTTTCCCCTCGTCCACCTTCCTCAGAATACACCTCGCCAGCTCTGGGTCGCTCTGAAATCTCTTTGGTGCTGGGACCACCTTTACTCTGCCTCCGCGAAGATCCTCGGCACTCTCGAACCTGGCCCTGAGTCTTCTCACCGTGCCATTCTTCACTAGCTTCAAATAGGCCCGCCAGTACTTGTCCGGGTCAGGCGAAGAGCTACGCAGCCAGATGCTTTCCAGACTGCACGATGAATTCGATCGCGTCGTTGCACGACACGGACTGACGCTGTGAGGCCTATCGTATTCACGGTCGCGTGAACAAGAGTGGAGCGAGGTTCGCGTGCCGGTATCCGCTTCGCGAGCAGGGCTACTTCCTTTTCTCTTGTCCACTATTTCTCTAGGTGAGATGGACCGTGTCCTGCACCCTGACAAGGGCAAGGTCGTGTATTTCGCGCTCTCCGTTTCGCCGAACAATTCCCTTAGGTCAGCGAAGCTTTGCGAGGAGGAAAGTCTTCCTGGTTTCGTCTTCGTTCTCGTCTGATCCTTTCTGCCACGGTCAAAATCTACTTCCTTCTTGTCGACGTTCTCGAAGAACTCTATCTTAGCTGGGACGTCCTGTGATTCTATGTTTCGTTGGATCACTGTCCTCACGGATGTCTCGGAGCTTTCAGTTGTACTGTCCCTTTCGCTGCCGGAATTGGCGCCTGCTGCTTTCGTCTGACTCGTAGGGTCTGGTATTGCTATTGCCAGAAGAGGTGGTTTCCTCGACCACTCCTCCAGAACATTCTCCACTCGCTGTCTGTCTGACGGACTGTTGTTGTTTGGAGTCAGAACCAGCAAGAAATCGTTCTTCTCTTTGCTTCTCGAGGAATCTTCGGTGCATGGTGTTTCCAGGGAGTAGCAGCTCCTCGGTGATGTGCTGGTTACGCTAGATGCTGTCGAAGAACGAAATACCTTCGGTATTTTCTTGGCAGCCAGAGCAGCTGCTATGCTACCTCGAGTCTCGCGTGGAGCCAGCGGCATCGATAATCTTCTCTGGGACACCTTGTCCAGAACTTCTCTGCCCAGCGTCACGGAGAGCCTCTTCTTCTCTAATTCGCTCATAGGCGGAGGGGTGGCTACGGATCTGTCGGATTCGCACCTTTCCACGCTTTTACCTTGGCTGAAAGAGTCACTCCTCTTCAACGTCGATTCTGGACGATCACCGAATGATTTTTCATCACACGGAGAGGCGTCTGGCGTGATCATAGAGTGACATCGTACGTGAAGGCCTTTCCCATCTTCTCGGACATTATCGGCTGACTCGACCGGGGGTGGAACCACGATCTCGTACTTCGACAGAGACTCGCGTTTATCGGGGTCCTCTGCCTTTTCTTCGCGTTGTTCCGTGGGTTCGGGGTCTACTTTCGAGGACGTAGAAGGTGTAGATCTTTGCAGATTATCGCTACCATAAATCTCGTTCAATTGTTTCTTCAAAGTGGCCACTTGCTCGATCGACAAACTGCTCCAAAATTTTTTACTGCCTCCGAGGCTTCTCTGCAGCGACGGATGATCCAAGTGATCCGAGGATTTCTCGTTATCAGCTCCCCTTGCCTTTCTCTGCATCGTACTCGCCACGTTTATTACGGACGTGCCACGCCAAAGCGGTTTATAGATGTCCTTGCGCGACAGTATGTCTCTCCTTCTCGAAGACTCCAATTCGCTACCTTCGGCTTGCAGCTTCTTGAAATGTTGAATAATATTCTCAACCGACCGTTCTTTGCATCTTAAGCTGCAATCACCGTGCCATTTGAACTTACTGATGTCCTTGGTACTAAACAAAAAGTCCTTATCCTTCTGAACAGCTCTTAGTTTCCCGTAAAGAGTACTGAACTCGAGCTCAGCCTTTTCCTGTGATCTCACTCTCTTCCACCTGTCGTAATCTATAATTTCTTCGTTTTTCATCCTCGGTCGTAGATCGTTAGAGGAGAACGTCCTCTCCAATTCGCCCAATCGTTCAAGACTCGAATAGAAATCGTGCAGCTCTTTATACCTCTCGGATCTTCTTCTATCGTGCAACATCTCCAAAACATACTGATGGTACTCTTCGCGATCGACTGGTGACGTGCAAAGAGAATTCGTGCTTCTGGTCAGAGACAAATTAGATCCAAACCTTGATCTTGATCCCTGCAGCTCTTCCGCTTCGCCAGCACTTCTGGCTCTAACCTTCTTCACGACGATCGTGCTAGGAGCGTCGGATCTTTCCTGTTTCAAGGAACGTATGCGTCGACAGGCTGGAGACCTAATTGGAGACGAAGAGGAAGTGCGCGAAGATGAACGCTTCGAGTCCGAACATTCCGACAGCGTCTTCAATGGTGGTTCGCTCAAGCTTCTCTCCTTCGGGCGCTCTTTTATCAAGTCCGGACTTGGATCGCGTAGCATCGTCGACGATCCAAAGTCTTCGATGCCCAGGAGACTGTCGAACTTGCTGACCTTTTGGAACACGGACCTGCCAGGCCAGCTGACACCGTATGGACTTGAACTCCTGGAAGATATACTCTCTCGTTCCCAGTTTCTGAACTTCGAGTTCGACACAGGACGCTTGTGGGCCAAGTAGATGCTAAGGGACTTTAGAGAAGGCTCGGATTTGCTGCCTTCTCTGATGTTCTCTTGATATATTCTGGCTCGTTCACTAACTATGGACCTCCTGCAGGGAACGTTTTCACTGGAGACCGTCGTAGAACTGGATCTCAGAAAGAGATTCTGGAAAAAGGTATCGGAACGCGTAACTTCGTGATGTCTCTTGATTTCTTCTATCGTTAACGCTGATGGCTGTTTGTCCAGTTTGCAAGTCCTCTGTTTGATGTTGGGCTCCTCGTTCTCGATGTTACTCTTCCTAATACGTTCACTTTTCGAATCATTCGTATGTCCATTCGCGAACTTCCTAGCCTTCGTAGCCCCTCCATTTTTATCTTTCCTCAATTTTTTCTTACCTTCCATTTTCTTGCTATCCGAATCAGGATCGATTTTTATCGTTTCCGGCTTCTGTATCGGAGACTTTAGAACGGTGTGAGATCTCTGCCTCTTCTTCTTACTCGAATCGCTAATCGCCTCAGAAGAAGACGTGAACTCCCTGCTAGACCCTATTTTATCGGGTTGCCTGACTATTGTTCTCGGTTTCTTAGCGTCTGTCAATACTGCCCTGCGTAGAACTGATGGAGAAGACGTAGTCGAAGAGGACTTCAACGAAGAAGCTATTGACTTTCCTGCTAAAGTCGGGTCTCCTGGTTTCCTTAAAATCTCTTGTCCCTTCGACGACACTGTCACCACCACCCTCAGAGATTTATCTTGCGGACTCTTCTGCTTTCCATTAGTCAGGGCCGAGGAATACATCATCGTCGAGCTCTTGACCATGGTTCCCGATGGCAGGATAGTCGTGTGAACGTCTTTGCTACCTTTTTCTTTGCACCTCAGCTGGTGCTTCCTACTCTCCACGGAAGATAGGTCAACGGATGACCTGGCGAGTCTTCTAGACGATTCTTCCTGTTCCTTCCTCGTCAATCGACTCCTAACGTTAGTCTTCTTCGAACAAGTCACGGAATTACCCAGTCCATTTCCAGTGTGCAACTTCTCCTTTGATTTCGCCAAGGTAGGAGCCATATACCTCGGAGTCATCTTCACGGTGGGAGATGATTTGCCGTCCAGTCCACGTTTCGCGTCGGACTTGATCGAATATTCGTAACCAGTTCTCCAAGCGGAAGAAGTATCGGCGCAAACTCTACTTCTACCTCTGTCCGTCGAGAAACTTGAACTTTTCGCAGCTGTGTCGGGCAAACTTTGCGACAGACACGACTCAGATTTCTTCTTGCTCAACGGCGCAGACACCGCGCTGCAAACTTTCGATCGAGTCTGGACAGGACTATTAGAGGACGTTCGAAACAGCGTGGACGACTGCAAGCTTTCTCTACTCTTTCTGTACCTGTCCAGGTTACTGCACAGCCGTTCCCTCAGCGAGCCTACGTTAGACACGTCCTCCGCGAAGCACTGCTTATGTCTCGACCTGAAGGATTGAATGCTGCTCGTAGCTAGATGTTTGCTATTCGAAGCGTACATTCTGAGGGTTCTGCTGTTTCTGGAGGACTGTCTTCTCGGCGGAGACGGTGGTCTCGCCGGTGAAATCGCGCTAGAGATCGTTCTACCGTTCGGACTGTTCAGACCTAGCAGATTCTGATTATCTCTCAGAGATTTCGATTTCGCGATAGTCGATCGAACGTCCATTTTCTTGGTCGTTGCACACTGGCTGGTCAACGATCTTTTCTGTCGCGATAAAGTCGTCGACGACGTGGTAGAGGAAGCAGAGGCGTTTTTCCGGTGTACACGGATCCGTGTCAAAGTGGGCGAGATAGGGAAATACTCGACCCCCGTGTCGTCTGTGGACAAAGTGTTGATTGGTTGCTTTGTTCGCGTGCTCGTTCGCGGATTGCGTGCCGTTCGTGGAACCCTCTCACCAAAAATTTTGAAGAAAATAGTCTCTTTGAAGCTGGTGATGCTGCTTTGGTTCTATTTTAGTATACTCTTATTGGATTTTTCTTTTTTTTTTTTTTTTTTTTTTTTTTCTTTTATGGAGTTTTAATCCAGCGCAGCGTGAACATCGGAAAGGTCTTCTCGGTGGTGGTACTGCTTGTGCATCGTATTACGGGGAAAATTAAATCGCACACCAATATCGATAGATGCCCGAGGAGAGGCGGTGCGGTGAATAACTTAGAGGACTACATGGAAGGAGGATGATTGCGAGAAAAATAGGTATTGCGTTGAAGCTGGACAAGTTGGCTGGCACAACTAACAAATTATCGTTGCGAGTCATGCTGTGTGCCCTACGCTCGATGCATTATTCAAGCAGGATGAAGTTCGAGTTCGTCAGCGGCTGGTATTAAATCGTTTCGCGCGGTGATTAGAAATCGTCCGGGCAACGTGGAAACGCGATTACGTAACGGTTACGTTAGAAAGATTCGAAATGGCCGAGAAATAACGTTCACGTAACCCGTGCAAAGCGATAACAAGCTGTTGCGAGCGGATGATAAGCCGGGCTACAAATGCTCTGACGCGCGAGTCGACCGTTTCTACCAGCGAAATAGGGTTCACGCGTCAAGGACCAATTCGCGTTATCAAGGGTTCTATGTTAATAACTCGCTACGCGCGTAAACTCGACGAACTACGTGGATAATTGCGTACTCACGATGGTCTCGAATGTTTCGTTCGACGATGGAACGATGGAACGATGAAATTATGGAATGACAAAACGATGAAACGATCGAGGGATATCTAGAAGAAATTTTCGCGGTAACAAGCAACGCAGAGGTCTTTAAATCGTTTAGGGTAGGGCTGGGTTCGAACGGTGTTCTTTAATTCCCGAAACTTTGTACGATTTCGTAACTTTGGAAATTCTCGAAATTTGTTGCCAGAAATATCGATCATGTTTTCTACGTGAAATATTTTATTTCGAGGACTGAAATTTGGACGAAATTTTTGGATAAATTTTTACTATACAAACGATTTTGCCATTGGGCACTAATAAATATTTTATTATATTATTTGATGTAACTCGAATGGTAAATGAGAGACAATAATAGACGTATTATTATTATTTAAGTAACAATACGTTATTTTAAAAAAGATCAATGATTTTACAATGGAATAAAAAAATTAGTATAGTCTTGTCGAAATTTATCCACTGTAAACGTAGCCTTATTTAATAACACTGATATGCGAATTCGTTTTGAAATTGGTCTATTTCTTTTCTTTCTTTCCTTTTCTTGCAACGTATAGTGCCAATTATAATGAAAAGTCTTTCAGACAATGCGAATAGTAGCATCAAGGGACAATTTTCTCTCTTCTACACACAGTGCTTTTATATCTGCTTTTAATTGGATTTCGAGAATTTCGAGTCAGGGAAAAAGTACAAAATTTCAAATTCCAAAAAACGAAAAATTCTCTGGTAGCGATTAATTCCGAGACCGCGGGTAACCCATCCCTAATTTAAAGGGTATAAATATGCAGGTGATTCGTAAATACTAAGAACGTCATGCTTGAAGGCGCAAAAAGGGTGTAGTTTTCTAGCCGAAGCTACGAGATAAAACGTGAGTTCAGTGACACGACAACGACCATGCATAGACTTAGCAGAGACACAGCTGTCGTTAGTAATTGGGCAAACGAGACACAAGAACTCAGGCGCAATCTTACACACTCATGCCTACTTGGACAAGATAAAACACCAAAAAACAGACGAAGAAAAGAAGAGGAAAGTGTTCGTGGAAAATGCGATAATAAAATAAAATGCGATAAAAAGAAAATATATACAGGTAGCTTTATAATAGTTGGAAAATCAAAACTCAAATTGACGTGTTTGGTGACTTACCCTTCGGTCGTTCTGGGGCTGGTTTACGAAGGCCATGAAGGGGCACGTCACCACCGCTCTGCACGGTTTTATAGGCCAATCTTTGCTCGAGTTGACTCAACGGGCTGATGTCTTCCGTCTTGCGACGGAACACCAGGGTAGAATCGCTTTCGTATCCTGATTCTTTCAGAGCACTGTACACCGAGAAATTTTATTTTACACTCTACTATTATGCAATGATACATAATTGTAATATTGGAGTATTATAGTGGTATTACAGTTTCGTTTCATTTAGAATCACTATTAAATTATTACTACAACTGGAAGATTTCATGTTCATATTTATAATCGCTATGATATCTACTATATGTTCCTTTTCTCTTTTTTAACTTAAAGGTACCTCATTCGAATATTTATATTTCATTATTATTATAACCAATCTTTCATTTATCAACTACTTCTATTGAATATTACTGAACCATAAATAATTACATTTTTATTACATTTCTATTTTAATATTATACCTAATATTATTATATTTTATCACCGTAACACTAGAAATTTCAATAAAAAAGTAAAATATTCGAAACATTTATAATCTCGTTTATACGCGATTAAAAATTCAATCAAACAACTTGACACTAAACCCACCACGACTTAAAAAGCTATCTTCAATCTTTGCATAAAAAATTCCTCGTCTTCCAATATACGTACAACCAATTTATCGGTAATTTCTTTTATTCTATTTTCTTTATTCCTTTTTTCTCAGTTTTTCCTTTTTTTCTTTTTTTTTCATTTCATCGGCCGTGATAGGCTTAGTATTAAATAATTAAAAACGGAAAGATCAACACGATAAAAGCTAGAAACGTGCTTCGAACTAAATTATAAATTCACTCACTGTGTCATGTACGGTTTCACTGGACGACTGTTGCGCTGATCGAAAGGCTGAAAAGCAAAAGATCCCGTTTATTAATCTCGTCGAAGCTCGTGCATAATTTCTGTACATGTACGTCATGCTTTTCGTGTTCTTTCATCGACCTGACTGACTCGAGATCGCGATAGCTTTACAACGAGGATGAAAATATTTAATCGACAACTTTTTCGCGTGTACACAAAACCGCGAGGTAACCGATAGTGTGACCACAAAACATCGAGTAGCAGTTGCACAATTCATGCTACATTCGGCTAATGCTAAGCGTAAATTAACAATGAGGAACGCAAACGAGCAGATGAAATGCCACTGGGGTAACATGGTCGTGGAATATTCAGAAGAGAAGAGGCAGAGAAAGGTAAATTTTTAAAGAAAGTACATCGACAGTGGAAACAATGAGAGAAAATGGTAAACATAAAGAGAAGAGGCTATTTCGGTTCCGTGTACCACAAGGTTTGCAAATGATACTTGAATAATAAAATAAAGATGATCGAATAAAACAGATGGGGTGAGTTTTGCAATGTAAAGAAAGTTTGGATAATTGACAATAATTGAAATTTACCGTACTTTGATTTTATTAAAACTAACTATAGTTACGTTAAAATTTCAAACAGGATATTTATATTTGATTAAAATTTGATGAAAATCTAAAATGAATCGATCGATTTGCATTTAAATAATTTTTGTTTTATTCGTAATATATAAATTTTGTAAATATTGTAAGTAAAAGTAAAAATACTGACTTCTATTATTTTGTTTTATTATCAAGATATTTATCGTTAAATAAATTAGTTTGTTTCAGAACTGAATATGTAGCCTTCATAGTTTCTAAAAGTTTGAAATTTTTAGGAAAAATAATCTCCAAAGTTTTAATACAATATCATAGAACTGATTCTAATATATCAATTTTTACCATTGTATAGTCGTTTAAGATATTAGATTCGAGTAAAAAATTCATCGACATGTAGGATGAAACGATGAATGCAGTGGTCCGACAAGTCAGAGATAATCCGTGTCCTAATCCCGGTTTGAAAATCCGATTGAACGATATTTTCTCTTTTCACATATTTCAAAAGTATTATTTTGTTCTCTTCGTTTCTGCGTTGCATCGAATTTTGGATTTCTTTCGTAAAAACTATACCATTTTCCTCAAATGCTAAATTAAAAATTTGTAAATTCGTCAAAGCGACTAAGATCGAAATAAATTAAATTTAAATGAAAATTTATGTATAATACAATTATATTAACCATTAATTGGCAGAATTCTACAGAGAATGAATTAGAAAAAGTATATAAAATAATAAAAGTGCAAAACACGTTAAAGTATAATGTATAATATATTAAACACTACTGAATTGAGAAACTAATACTACTTTATCAGTTGTAATATTGAAACTACATTTTACATCTAATATAAAAGTGAAATTATCTACATTATGAATTATTTTCCCCTAATTTTATTTAAAATTTAATACATATCAAGATTTTAATAGAATATTATTAATATACATACTGACATACTTTTATACAAAATATATATATATATATAGGTAATTGAGATATATCTAGATTTTTCAACTATATATTGCTACCAGAAATGAAATTTTCCGATACCTACAACCTTTAAAATAATTTACACAAATTTAATTCCACGCCTAACACAATTTACAATTTGCCAAACAAAAATTCCCTGTATAACCCGCATTTAAACCAACAATATAAAAACAAACTACATAACCAATAATTAAATCTCCTAGAAAGCTACTTACAAAAAGTAAATAAAAGACCCACGTTCTTCCTTCTCGACTATCGAGGACAGACATATAAGTACTTCCAACAGCCAGCGTCACTTCCGAATCAACTATTTACAAACTTTACTACAGCAGTGGTCTCTGGTGGTCGTGAAAGTCCCCCAAGAAATCTCAGACCACGCATAGAATCGTGCCCCGGCTACATCTCGAAAAATAACAGACCATTCCTGCCAGATATCGAATCGTAAACTCGAGCAAAACTTCTCAAGGACGAGTAAACGCGACAAGGGGAGCGAAGACCAGCGTGGTTAGCCGAAATTTACAGACAAGCAGGTAGAAGACGCGCAAAAGAATGAGAGAAACAGACAGCCATAAGACAAATAGGAGAAAAAATGAAAGAAAGAGAAAAAAGAAGAGAAGAAAAAGAGTCGAGTAACAGAGGGACAACGTCATCGTGCAGCTCTACTTGTCGACGATGTTGCAGCCTCTAACCCGTGAAACAGCCGACGTCTGAGCGTTGGCGGTGAGAAGAGAAGGTGTCGTTGATGATGGTGACGAGAGCATAATGTGATTGGTGCTGGAAATAGAAGAAGACGTAGAAGAAGAAGAAGTGGGCGAGACACGTTGGTGATGGTGATGATGGTGGTGGTGGTGATGGTGGTGATGGTGACGATGACGATGCTGTTCGTCGCCGGTAGCCTGTAGGAGCGTCGACCTGACAGAGGCCGATCTATCGCCGATCGGCGAGCTCGATCGGCGCAAGCAACGATCCGGTAGCACGAAGCTCTTGGATCTTCCTTCCAGCATGCCAGCGTGCCAACCACAGTCGGCAGCAGCCCGTTCAAGAGGTCGCACGATCCTATCTTTCGAATCGTCCTTGCTACCTTTCATCGACCCGATCGTCCGCTCTGTCGACCGATCGAGAGTCCCGGACCTAGCATAGTCGAGCACGTTCATGCTCGACCATTGCTTCGAGCCGGTCTGAGGTTTCGCGTTGCGTATACCGTGCTGCGAGCTTTCGTCCACGCTTGGACGAGCTTTCGGGACGACCTCGAGGGTTTTCGAGCTGCTGACCGCTGATACCCTTACATTGTGACTGCTCTCCGGTCTGTAGGAGAGACTCAGAGCTCGGTGGCTCAGCTGCGCGTCCCGCAGATCCTCCATTCCTGTACCCTGAGGACGTCCATTCTCGTTCAACCACTGTCCCGTTGTTTAGCGATGTTGTTTCGCGTTGTTGTACAGTCGTCGTCGTCGTTGTCGTGGATGTTGGTGGTGGTATTGGGTCGTTGTCAGCGACATCGTCCAAGGACCAGGGGAAGACGAGTAATCCGGGACCGTCCAAGGTGCACACGAACGGACACGATACGCAAACACCAAAGAGACACACACACACACATGGACATCGATCACGATACATGTAGGTTATCGTGGATGGAAGAGATCTTCGACAATCGAATTGGAAGGTTCTAGTCGATTTTCATCGAACATCGGGACGATAGGAGCGAGAGAGAGGCTCGATTGGATAGAAATCTATGAGTCGTTAGTTGGGTTCTCATGCATGGTTCATCGCGTGCGTTTCTTGCTAGGTGCACAGGGGTCTCCATTATACTGAGACACGGAAAGCCAATTGTTAGACTACTTGGAGCTGTTAGTTCGAAAGAGTACACATGAAACGACAACAGACAAACGAAAAACAGGTGGTTTCGAATACTGATTGTCTTGTCCAGATGTGTTCCGGAATTTCGTACAAGGAATTTTGGGTGGGTGATTTTGAATACGAGGATGATAGTCGTGGTTGGTGTTAGCTGAGTGTTTCGTAGATCGGGAATAAAATTTTGTCGAATTGGACTGATATATGAATTAATTTCGGATTTAAGCAGAGATAGAACGGTTTTATTCGTTTTGCACGAACTTGTCGTTTATCGAACGATTTTTAGCGAAGACTGCTTGGATTCGAATTTAATTTAGAGGTTGAATCGTTGGCATTGACCGTGCAAGTTATCTAGAATAATAGGAGTCCGAATAAATAGGGATCGATATCGGAGAGCGAGACGAGTGGAGGAAAAGTGGAGTTGGTCCTTACTTAACTAAGATAATAAATAAAAAAAAAAATGGCGTACCCCGTCAAATATGTCCATGACCTCGTCCCACCACTAGAAACACAGAATTAAATATAGCGTTAATCTCTGCGCTAATCGCGTGAGGTTAATATGATATAAAAATTGAAGAAAATAAATAACTGAACCATGTATTCTTTATGCGACTGCTTTTCGTCTGAAACTCTGCTTTTATCAATACCACTCTTAGCATTGGCCAAATCGGACACCTAAGAAGCTTGCTAATTATTTTTATTTATTTCTACATTTTCTAAAAACTATATTAAATTACATCTTTCAATTTTTACCTAGAGAATTATATTATTCTCATATGGGACAAAATTTTTGTCTAAGATTCTAATGACAGGATTGGAGTGTACTGTAAAATGCAGTTTTCTAAAAAAATTCAGAGTTCTTTAAATTTATTCCTCAACTCATACGTATACTTCAAAAGTCATTATTTTTCAGGAGACTAAATTTTTTAAAATCAAGAAATATTCAAGGGTGGCTCGGATTTTAATAATTGACCTTCGTACGAGGCATATCAAATTACCTATGACGGACACTGGATTAAAATCACTGAATTTGAAAAATATTTTAAAAAATTTCCTCGATAAAAATTCGACTCCTCCAATTATTCTTTAATCAGAAATCTCATACAACTTTCAAACGAAAAGCAGGTCACCGGTCTGATCACTAAAAGCAGCGCTACTGAAGCTAATGGAAAAGAAAAAAAAGATATAGATAAAATAGAAAAAAAATAAATAAAAATAAAAAAGAAAGAATATAAAGAAATTAACACGAGTACGATAAAATATCGAGAAGCATGGACGAGATTGCGTGCGCTCGATACCTCTGAACACATGGAAATGTTTTTCGCTGGAAAGAAACGTGACGTGACGTTCCATCGTGAGCGAAAGAACGTGTCACGCGGCAACAAAAGAAGCTTCGAATGAAAATCAAGTAAGAAAAAGAAGTGTTTCACTTCGAAAACTGATTTCAATCGTTCGATTAATCGTTACCTTCCTTCTCGTCCGTGTGACAGAAGTCGGCTAGAAGCAAAGCCATTTCAAACGATCAAGTTCGAGACACACTGTGTTCGGGAAGCTTCTACTTACGTACCGTGCGTATCGTCGTTCGATCAAGTGGCGGCAAGAATCGCATTTGTTATGCGTTAATCAAGCGTCACTTCGATCAGAATTCGCGAGAAAGCACGCGGCGCGAGACTTTCAGCCTAACTGGTCGTCTAATCAATTTTGTGAGACTAGGTACTGCTTCTTCACAGAGAAAGGATACCATAATCCAATAGCTCATTTATCCCTTTTCTCCTTTTCCGAAATAAGCTTTCAATTTTTTGGCAGATAATTGGGCGGATATAAAAACGGAAAAAATATTTATTTTTGAAAATGTAAAAATTATTGGCATTTCCTAATGTTTGTGATCATTTTTAGCATTTTTTATACCAGCTAAGAGTTTCTTCCAGATTTTTGAAATATCGCATCTGAAGATCCTAATTTAAGATGTGTTTTCTTTAATTAGAATTTGGCTCACTCGAAATACTCTTTTCTCAGGTAATTATTGAAATAGCAACAAATTCAATTAAGTGTGAATAAATAACTTAATGTGGTAGTAATTTAGACGGATTAATTACGTATTTCAACGAACAGAATATTTGCATTTGTGTAAATATATTATGTCAACTGACATATTACATATCAACAGATATATTAAATAGGTTTATCAATATACGCTAATAAAATAAATGTAGCCGAACAATTAATAATTATTAACCGTTTACAGAGAGATTGACAAATGTTTAATAAACAATTCACATAAATTTTTTAATAATTCCTTTAATAATTTTTTAATAATCCTCCTCTTGTTAGTACAAATCCCGTTTATTTCTCAAACTATGAAAAGCAGCGAGTAAAATAAGAGTGAATTAAACTTAAATAAAATTTAATTAAAGTTAACAATGGAAAACAGATTTCCTTTGAAACAAAAACTGATATTGACAAAACGAAAAAGTCAATCAATTATTAACTGTCTATAAGAATGTTTGATACATTTTTGACACGGGATATTTCATTAAAAAATATATGAAATTTTAATCAGAAAATTTTATCACGATATACGATATCAATTTTATTTTCATCGAGCCAATATGTAATTTTCTCTTTGACATCAAATATTTGCAAATATTGCATAAACTAATTGATCCTCGATTACTGCCCCATTATCTTCATAATTGTAATTGGAAATTTGCTCAAAAATTTAATACGTATACAATCGATATATCCTTTCTCTGTTATCTGATCAAGATATTCGTATTTTGCAGAATAATTTTCATCAAGGTAACTATTGTGAAATTTTAATATGGGGTGTTCTCAAAGGAAATTCATATCAAAAAATAGGGTTGCAGAGGTGGACTATTATTTTAAGAACATTCATTTGCATACCTCCTTAGCTTCCTTTTCGGCAATCGAAGATCGTCCAGGTTCGTAGTCTTCGATGCGGCCAGGTTGATTTTTATAAATATCTGTACTGTATTTCAATGTGCCATTTCTGAAACGAAAAACGAAAATTCATATAAAATATTCATTCTTGCTTATTATCTGTATATATGAATACTTTAATTGATTTTGGATCAATGAAATTGATTTAGGTAGCTTTGGGACACCCTGTATATCGAAGGAAATTATTCATAAATCACGATTCGTTCCCTTACTTTCTAGGCATAGTCGACGTGGAAAAATCATTTTCCTTGTTACGTAGACGCCGACGACTGTCGAGCGTGGCAGAACGATCCGAGTACAAACGATGTTCAGGTTCGCTTAAATATCCACTGCCACTTCCGTAACCGTATCTCGTCCCTATAAAAGAAGACATTTTCGATTCATTAGCAAGTGAATTCATGGTTCCATGCGTCGGACGTGTTAAAAATTCTACCCGTTCATCCGTCACCGGCAAAAAGAAAAAAAGAAATATGTACACGCATTTGGCAATAAAAATTTCGCACTAATGAAATTTTCAGTGCACTTCGCGAAGCTTGTGTTACTCGTCGTAAATCTTCACCATCGATGGTTTTAATGGGTAAGTAGTGCACGATGTTAAATTGCATTTAATAAATTGATTAAATTGATTAAATTGATTAAATTGCACGGTGACAAATCGCAAATTTTTCGTTGAAATTTTTACAAATTTGCTTTATGTATAATATATTTCGTTTTACTTGCAAATCTTATTGCAATAACACATGGTATGAAAAATAAATTCATGGAGGCAGAATGTTGTTACAATTATCATCAATTAACTCGATACAACGTTCGGTCTTTATTTCACATCCAACATTATGATTCTGTTTTAAATTCTCTACAGAAATAATCATCGTTGTTAAAATATTATTGTTAAAAATTGAACAGTTGATGTGACGTGTAAATAAAAGAATTTCAAGATAGAACTATAGAGAAAAGATGAATATATTAGGGAACAAAATTAGTACTGCTAATAAAATTAAATAGAATTAAATAATTTGTAATTTCGAATTGCACGAATAATTAAAAATTAAATGCAGTGAAACCACGATTAATTGCACACCTGCTCTTACAACATAATTTTCTCGACATGAATACATGAAAAATACATGAAAAATATGTTGTAGAATTATTCGAGAAATGCTTTATGAAATTAGCAGTTGATTATTAAATTATTAAAATAAACAGGAGTCTGCGTTAAATTGCAATTTTCTTTGTCCTGCAGTAGAATTAAATATTTTCGAAAATTAATTGCAGTAATTGATGTAGTTAAGTATAATTGAAACAACAGATAGATATAAGAAAAGTATAACATTGTTTGGTCGTTGTGGAGGATTCTAAAGGCCTCCTCTTTCAAAGGGAGCTTTTTCTTCAGAGAAAATTCCAGTACCCTGCAGCTCACGTATATCGACAAAGAAGAAGGAAAATTAAATAATGCAGCCTTGGGATTTTACTCCTTGTGAATCTAACGAAGGTCAGAACATACCCGTAACGAAGTTTCACCTTTTAGATCCTTTTACACATTTTTACCTTCTAAAATAAAAGTCAAAGATATCAAAGGTAACAGAATAGCAGAGGACTACCTTCACGAGATTAACCTCTCAAAATTAAATTTTTATGATTAATTTATTTCAATAAAATAATTATCGAGCCGGCAATTTGAACAGGGTCGTTTTAAGAGAAACGATATACTGCAAATAAAATGTACCGTACAAGTATGCAAAGTTATTGCGAAAGATTTATACGTGGAATCGTAACAATTTTACGAATATTTCATGCATAAAATAGAACTCGGGCTAAAATTTTAAATTTACAGCGTAGAATCACATATTAATCTTTTTGGAAAATAATATCAAGTTTCACGATGTAGCGAGTTAATTAATAGTTTATCGATAGTGTATTCTAACTCGTGCAAAAACATTTATCGACTATTTACAAACAGAGTTAAAAATGTATCGCAAATTTAATAATTTAATAATTTCAAATATTCAGGTCGCAAATTTCGTTTATGGAAGCTATAAACTGAAAATTTACTATTAACAAAAATAACTTCCTATTTCCAAATATAATTTTAAAAAGATATGAAAATGGAGGAAGCATATCGATAAATATCAATAAAATAAGAAGAATTAATGAAACAGAATAGATTAATCCTTTGCACTCGACGACTTTTTCGTTACAGAAAAATAGTAATTCAAAGACTTTCTGTCATAGAGTCGACGATATTTTTAAAATGGTAAATGAGAAATCATATGCAAATTAAGACATAGAATTATTTTTCTTCGACAATCCACACATCGTTAGGTAATTTTAAATTTGATATGTTAATTAACGTCGATCTTTAGAATCTGATTAAACGGTGACTGAGAGTCACCTCTCGAGTGAAAAGGGTTAACAGATATAGAAATTATTCCAACAGGGAAAATAATAAGCATAGAAACGCGAAAATCGACGGATAAACGTTTTTACACGATTCAGGGGCCAGCTTAATAAGACGGTTAATAAGACGGGCGTAATAAGACATTAAATAAAGACGGGAGCACTCGCAGCACACGATCCTCGTGTATCGATTGGATCAGTTATTGTTACTTTCACGCACTGGCGATTAGCATGGTTAAAACCGATCGTGTATAGTTACACATCGTGTTACGTAAAATTCGTCAACACGTTCGACAGACAGTGTGAAATGCCATCGATAACACCAGTTGTTAACAGGACAGAGAGAACGCGCGTGTTTCCGGTGTTAAAACAGCGAAATCGACCGAAGAAGAAGGCCATTAACGCGACGTGTTAATTTCTAAGCTGCTTTATCGTGTTAGTGTTTCTTTTAGATCGTAATTCGTTCGATTTGGACCGTGTATTCACCTCTTCTTTGTTTGTAACGAATGGTTACGTAGTCATCTGAAAATGAGATTAAGTATTAATCTCACGATTTTATCTTTTCTTTTTTTTTTTTTAATTATTAAGTTGCTTATTTCCAGAATTGGGATTTCTATTTCAAGTTTTCACGATAAATTTTCCACTCTAATTCTTCCTATTTTAATTTTTAATATTTTATTACTTGAGCAGAGAGTTCAATATGTGGGTTACTTCTTGGTATTAATAGGTTGCTGTATTTATAGATATAAATATTTAAATTCAAAAATTGCAATTTTTAGAAAGTAGAAAGCATGTTCTAATATTACAAGATTACAAAGAGATATGATCACGAGGGAAAATAGAAAGCGATTAAATCGAGACATTATTCGCAAAATCGCAATACTGAATGAGTGCATCACACGAAATTAGTTGAAAAAACTAGAGAGAAATTTGTTGATTATATCGAAAAAAAAAGAACGAGATTATTCAGACTAATTTAAATATTATAACAATATTTCACTAGTTAGAATGAAAATTAAAAAAGAGAGAATATGAGCAAAATACTGCCGAGCATTCTGGTAATATTAATTGCTATCACAATATTCGATTATATCATTAAGCGACGAAGCTATGCATTATTTGCCACACAAACTCACCGCTTCTGTCTGCACGATGCAACGAGTCGTACATTTTCTTATACCATTTTGTCTGATTATTCTCCTTGACTTCCTAAAATATTTCATTTCTTTTTACAAATGCAAACGTGAACGAAATCCACTAATTGAAAAATAAAATTCTACAATTTTTAGAAATTCTAAATATTATTTTGTTATGTCAAACAATTGCTTTTAAAAGATATATATATATATAAGTTCTAAGTATTTGCAGAAAATGATTTTGTAAATGTGTGTTATATGCCAACGTAGTAACTAAATGTTATGTAAGTATTATGATAAATTAGTTTTTAGACTGTATTACTGAAATTTTGAAATTTATGATTTAATCCCATACTGTAAGACAAAGACTTTAGTGCCTATACAATACATAGAATTAATGCAGCCTGTTAACTGTTTAATTTCATGATTAAAACTTCCTATATTCAAGAACCTACAAATTTCTTGAAAAGAAAAAATTTCTGTCAAATCGACATTAATTCGTGTGATAAAATAAAGAAAATTGAATTATTGCGTCCAAAATATTAATAATCTAACGAGTTAATTTTTCATTTCCAGTTAGCAGGTAAGCACTAAAGTTTCCCAACGATACAGTCAAGGATCAATACCGAATTAGAAAAAGAAATCTCACAACCAGTCGAAACCTGATGTTAATGAGCCTAAAGCTTCGAGTAACTCTTGACAAACCTACCGATCTCAAAACAAGAGGGATACCGTCCTTAGACGTTGGGCCAATACCCTCGAATTTTCGAGGACCCAAGTCGGCCATCTTCTTCGGTGGTTCATTTTCCGTTTCCGGCTCGCTCTCGTATTCTTTCTTCACGGTGTAGACTAAGCGAACATCAGTATAATTTCACAATGCGGCAACCGTGGATCTACTTACGCGATAACTCTGTCGAATACTAGCTCTTAAAGGACGGTTCGCCGCGTCGCGTACGCATAACCTCAAAATCAATTTGCGTCCCTCTGGCGGCGCTCACTGCGACTAGACTACGCCTCGAAAAGTAGTTCACGCGTGGGTCCACGGTGCGAAGATTACGAACGAAACTCGAGTCACGAGCGCGGTGCACATTATAAAATATTCAACGGTTATGGATCTATGAAAAATGTACTCACTGATTTCACCCGGATTAATTATCGGCTTTTCGTCGCTTGGCGGACGTTTTACCGTTTCGCTTTCCTCTAGGTAAGCCGCTCCTTTCGGTAACTGTCCCTCTAAAATTGCACACAGTAATGACTATTTTGGTACAGTTTCGTGGTCGTAGTTGAAGAAGAGGGGTGGTCTATTGAACCGAAGTAATCACAGTCGGAAGGTAATAACGATGAAGTTTTTAGTACGTGGTTCAGAGGTTTCTAGAGGGAAATTAATATCGAGGTTGGAAGCAACATTGTAATATTTCATTCTGGGATATTTTAGTACGTGTGAATTATTTGTTATTCCGCTTCTGTTAATCCAAGTGATATCTTCGTCATTAAAAATAGCATTTCGTGACTATTTTTTGTTTATATCAATTTATTCCTTACGTGCAAGTTTGTCTCTCACCTCTCGCTTTCTGAAGCAGTGTTATAGTTGGATTCTGCGCACGTGGCAGACGAGGCGTTGAACTTAATGAATTTAATCCTTGCGACGGTGCTGAGTGCGAATTGACAATTCGCAAACTACTGCTCTCATAACTACTTCGTAACGTTTCTTTCTTTTCCACATCCGACTCCCAAGGTGGTGGAGCTTCCTGTGTAATCTGACAAACGATGTAAACAGGAATTAACCGGCAATAATAATCGAATCAATATCCTTAAAAAACAAAGAGCTACTGAATATTCTAAAAATAATATTTCCTTTTGCAAAAATCAGAGAATTCTTTCCTGACATCGTAAATAATAACAGACGTGAAATAAATCATGCACCCAAGCACGAGTTCCGACGACCAATAATATTTACTGAATATCCCAAAAATAAAATTTTCCTGTTTAAAGATCACAGAATTTATTTCTGACATCATAAACAATAAGACACGTGAAATAAATCTTGCACCCACACACGAGTTCCAGCAACCAATAATATTTATCGAATTAATACTCGCAAGAGACAGAGAATTGGTAAAAGAAGAAAATCGGCAAAATAAAAGAGAACAATTGAACTGAAAATTAAAGCTGTTCATAAAATCACAGAGTTTTAACATCGCAAACAATAACACCCGTGAAATAAATGGTCCCAAGCAGCGCTCTGTTTCGATTGCTTCAGCGTTCGCACCCCGCATCTTTGTCGGGGCGGAAACTTTAATAGCCCCTCTAAATTTTACGGTCGCACGGAATGGATCGTAGTGTAAGTCTTGATAACTTACTTCTTGCTGCGCTGGCTTTTTTCGACTCAGAATGGGGCTTTCGAATTGCACGGGTCGAAATTCCTTTTTCTCAGGAACTGGGCTAGCTCCGGCGCTGGAAGGCGTCCAGATAGGAGGGATTCCAGCATCTTTTTGAAACTCTTTTCGTTCAGGGCTCGGTTGCTTCGGGGGTGGCGGTGGCTCGCTTCCAGGTGACCAAACGCCTGACGAGAAATATTCCTTCGGTTAAACTGTGGCCATCGACGTTTACCAATTGTTGTTATTTAATTCGGCAACAATTTGTATTAGTAACGGAAACGTTGGACACTCAAACGCTGTGTTATTACATTTGTCGTATTAATATAATTAATTATCGGGTTTAAAAATAACATGTACTTTGTTATAAGCAATTACTACAATTATAGCAATTAAGCAATTACACATTGTAACATAATATACATTTTGTGTTACAATATTGTAGTATGAAAATGTATATAGAGCTGTATCTAGTGAAAATATTGTGTATTTTGTAATATATTTATTTGCATTGCATCCGTTTCTAATAATCGCAACTGAACAAATTTATTTCCTAATTTACAAATAAATAAGTTTAAAAAAACATTGTACCCCAATTTCCACCACAGTTCACCCTGTATCTTTATTATATGCCAATACAAGAAAAGGGAACAGGAAATTCTTTAAATAGAAGAAACGTAGTAACAAATCTAGAAACAAAGCCAACGTCAACACCATTTTCTATAGACCTTCGATTCATCTTCCATTTTATTTCCTTACTCAACACAACGGGCTAAAGCTCTCGCTGTTTTGGTTCGGCAATGATCGAATCGAACGTCGAATTTCTAGTAAACAATATAGTAGTCTAAGTCGGACTCGAGAAAGGAACGTTAGGTTCTGTAGAAACAGGGCAGATGGTCGAGACACGTGAAGTGAACTGAATCAACGATTCCGGATTCGTAAGAAGCTTGCTAATCTTGGCCCGCGGAGGCGTATTACATAAAGAATCGTTCTTTTCGCCACCGATTTCTCGCTCCATTACGTGAACCGAGCCCAGAAAAGGGCGGAAGCAATTTTTGGGCCTGCACGCTGCCGACGATAATTATCCCCTTGTTCGTTCCCCACGTGCAATTTCGAAATGGTCATTAACTATCCGTGCTCTGTTCCAAAGAGCTTGGCCCTGTTCTGCGACACATCGCGGTTTCAGATATCCACGGAATGATGAGATACAGGCGTCTTTGAGACGGACAGACTTTTCTGTTATATAAATTTTGATTGGTATGAAAACTGGTAAATAATTGTGATAATTATGTGGTTATTTTATATACAAGAGACGTTACAGCGAATATAGTGGTTAGAGTATGAGATTTGTTTGTGGTTTTAATAGCTATTTACTGAGATTTTATTTAGGTATTCAGTATTTAAGCTTAGGATATTAGGGTGTCATATTTATTAATATCCAAGGTTAGTTTAAGGATTAATACTTAGGTTTTAATATTTAAGTATTGAATACATGCGTATCAAATTAAATACTATATCAAATATTAAACAATTTTGTAGCAAATTAAGTATTAAATACTTCATTAAAAACTAAGTCCTTCTGTGTAAAATTAAATATTGCATTAAGTATTAAATGATCAAGTATGAAGAATTTATTATTCTAAACAAATTGGACTAATTTGTCTTTTACGGTATATATATGACAAGATTATACACACGTATACGAAATTCAATTTAAAAATGTAAAGATAAAAGTTCTATAAATTAAAACACAAATTTAAAACAGCTTTTTATTTTAAATTTTGTTTCTCTTCGACTATGATATTTCGAAACGTTTAATTTAAGAAGACTATCTTGGATGCTATGAATCATCAAATAGGTTACGTCCATGTATATGTATATGTATAGGCGTAAAATGTTATTTAGGTTGGCAGAAACATTATAGTTCAAGAAGTTGCAGTTCATTACCTTTATATAAATTACTATTCAAAAGAAATCAATAATATTTTTGCATTGATCTATATTTTAATAATATAGCATTGTACAATATAAAAATAATATTTGCAAAAATTGAATAGTAATAATAATAATAAATTTAATCATTTTTGTATTACAATTTTTTAAATATATTCGATAGATGGACCTTGTTAGATTCGATGGATCGTTTAATTACTGACCTTTCAAATTTCCAATTTATCTGATTTCTGTATCATTTAAGCATTATTTTTTGAAACAAGATATATTAATAAATATTCTCACAGAGCATCGCTAATATATCCATTAGTAAACCCGTATGAAAGTTTATGCTTAAATAAGCCCATTTCTCTCCTTCTTTAGCAAATATATTATCCAGTTAATCGATGGTTGCTGTATTATTACTTAATTATCGAATCAAATTATCCGCCGGCTTGTCCGGTTAATCTGTGTTTGTTCTACTGCAATACATATTAATACGTATTTCGACAGTATCTGAATCTGTTATTGCGAAAGCAAACTGAAGCTTGCTTTGGAATATGAAAATGAGTTTGTCTAGTAAAATATTAGACTGGTTAAAATACTGTTATTATAGTGTAAACAATATTCGTAGCTAGATATTAACATGTACACGTATGCTATTGCTATCGCGACAGGGTTTTCATTAACTATGTCTTACCTTGCGTTCATTAAAAATAAACAAATACAAATTAATTGCATCAAAGGCAAAAATGGTCATAAAAGGAATCCACGACATATCAAATTTTTCAATTTTTATAGGAAAGCAATTTTTAGATTCAATATACTGTCAATCAATTCCACGTTGTCATCAAATGTGATTTTATTTCCTCTTGGGATTAAATACCAATTTTATCTTACCCTTTCGAACATTTCGAAAATATTATTTGCCATAGAATTGTTTATCACGTGGCAGAATTTTTAATAAAATTTCGTGAATTTAATAGATATTTTCAAAGAATTTATATTATCACGATATTAAATTGTTATATTTTGACATAATTACCATATTATTATTGGAGTATTATATTCTTGCATTTTAAAGGTAATTTAGATAAAATGTAAAAGGTTAGGCGATTATTTTACTAGAGAGGTAAGCATTTTCTTAGGTGGATTTTGATAATTTGCTGAAAATTTGTTCTCATATTTTATACTACAGATTACATAACAGGATTAAGTATTTACAGATATAAAGAATGAGAAACTAACTTACTATAGGTTAAAAATCCCTTGTCGATATTATTTCGAACATCTAGTTACGCAGTTGGGACTATTTATCGATTCGAATTCGATTATTCGATTCATGTTTTCAACGAAAACAAGTAACGAATACGTCCATTGAAAGCGGTAATAAATAATAAAACTAAAAACGCACGAGAAAAGAGAATACTATTTTGTTCCACTATTTCAACGACCCCGTATGAGAAACAAAGCCAATTTGAATTTCGCGCTCGTCGATCGTGAGTGCAAAAAACAAGCAGCGATTTGTACTTTCACAATGATTACAAAGCTAGGAAATCATGGACGTTAATTTGCAAAGAAATGAAAACCAACCCTTATTTGTCCACCATTTCAACGATCCCGTACAAATCACAGAGCCAATTTGAATTTCGCGCGCGTTGCTCTTGGCTGAACGGAATAAGCTACGGTTTGTGCGTTGGAAACAATCGTAAAATTAGAAATTCGTGGGCGTCGATATTAAGGTTCGCCTAATTGGAACTGGCCGAGAGGCCCTGAAGTACAATGCCGAGCCGATTTTCTGGAGCGACCCAGCGCGCGCCATGCCAATTCTCGTTTCGATTCATTTTAAAATTATCCCTGAGAAATCGGCCGGCGTTAATGCGGCGTAACTTCGGGCAAACTCGCTCGTTTGCATGCAACAGCCTAGTTGCAAAGATTCGAGGAAGAGATACCGGCGCCACGGATGTGTTCATTATCGGGAAAGTAAATTATTTGCTGTCGTTTCTCTTTTGCTTTCGCCCTGCTTAATTGCGAAACGGTCCCGACCAACCGGGCAACGTTCTTTCCTATTCCAATGTCCTGTTTGCTTTAAAATTCGAGTAATTGTGGGAAATAAGGAAATCGAGTGTGCGTATCTTCAATTGGTACATGCCTGTGCCACGAGGTGTTTAAAATTTTGTTAGTTCTTGTGGATTGTAATAGAATGTCGAGTATAGATTGGAATTTCTTGTCGATTATGGAAATTAAAATCGTATGGGGAAGATAAATGGATATAATTGATTTATAATTGACAATTATGCAAACATGCACATCGAAAAATATACAAAACACACGTATCAACAGTAATAGTTACATTACATAGTTTTTAGTTTACAAATATATCATTCCAAAATTATACTAAATATTTTTACACAATCTCGAATAAATAAAATATATAGATAGTATATTTCCACCAAAAAGCTGTAATAAATAATAACTTATACTCCTTGTCCTCCAATTAAAAAAATCCAAGTTACAAACTACCTGGGTAAAATTAAAAAATATAGAGAAAAATAATTTCTAATACTAAAGGCAAATAATAAAAGGAATTTTGAAAAATAATTCCACTACTACTAGAGAATGTTCAATTGTCGAGGTATGTTTCAAATTACACCCTCTGACTCATGAATATGTTAATATCTATATACCGAAGTGCGGTTTTGAAATGAAAATTATTTAAAAAATTCTGCTCGAAAACGTATACGAACGCTGAAAACTATACCAAAATTAGTTTTCAGATCACGGAAAAACTTGGTATTCCGTTACGCTGTAGACAACGTCCACAGTAACAAATTTTACTTTGTTAATACGAACGTTATTGTCAAATGCTTTTTCTCTCTTTTCTCAATCAACAATTCACAATACTGTAAAGCATTTTGTTAGTCTCACGCGATTCGTTTGCAACTTTACCTGGTGTTGCGGAAGAAGCTTTAAACGTGGGAGCGAACATAACTTGCTCTGAAAACACCAACAAGTGCTTTAAGGCTTCGAATAATTCTAACTCACGATAGTTCTAAAAATATTCGACAAAAATTTTCAATCAGCTAATCTCGAAAAAATTATTCCAAGAAACGGTAAATCGCTAAAGACAATTTCTTGCTACAGGAATTTTCTCTAACTTCGAAAATAGATTATTTAATAATTCTTTCACACAGGAATTCAATTAATTTATGAAATAAATTATTTACGGAGATGGTAAGTAACCAGAAATAATTCTCAATTGTAAAATATTTTCAATAAAATTATGAATTACTTTATTTAATGTACTTAATTCGATAACGAGGTTGTCCTGCTGATGGCGTATTCAAATTTTTGTCTCCATTATCATGAAATGGTTATTAATTTCTATCGATGTGTATAGTGATATAATACTTAAAAAATAAATACGAAAGTAACTGATATTACATTTTATCACAGTACTTCTATCTTTATATCGTAGTCGAATGTTTTTAATTATGTCAACGCTTCAAAATTTCGCTACTCTGCTGACCATTTATCACAGCATTGTAATATTCGATTTTATGGGAGAGGTGCTTGTTAAATGTAACTACAGTCCAGGTACACTCATCAATCACTTTGCCTATTTCAAATGCTCTATTTAAAGGTGATATCCGCATTGACAAGTAACGTGACCTTTGGAAGCATGCCATGATTACTTCTGTTGGAGGCACAACGTTTCCGAATAAAAAACAGGGGTTACCCTCGGGCTGAACCCAAAAATAATACGAACTTTCTACACCTCCTTCGATCGTCAACTTTAAAAAATCGATTTTCCCTTTAGTCACTCGTAATTACCTAACGTTCACGCGATAATAAATTTAAATTAACGTCAGTGATATAAGATAAATTTCAGTGATATTAAATAAAATCAAAAGAAGATAAAAATTATGCGTGTATCCTGTGCAAGAAATTCTCGTTTTCACATTCAGGTAACGATTGATAGTAAAATTTACCGAATACGTAGATTTCCGTGCGTGCCATTACCAAATACCTCTATTACATAATTTACAATATATACTTAAATTTCGTCAAGTTAAAATATTAAAAAGTTTTTAATTTCGGCTTAAGAAATATAAAATCTGAAATTAAAATAAATAAAACTAAATTTAAGAACAGAAACCAAGTTACACTGAAATATCAACCCTTTGCAATCGACAAGCGAGCCTCAGTCGCTATTTGATAAGATTCCAGAGATTCGTATTAATTTTTACATTACTTCTCATTCGACATTCATAAAGGAGTGCAAACATGGTTCCAAGATTAGGTTGTTTTACACACATATGGGATGTCTCGACTCTCCTGACAGCAGACGAGACCCACAGTGACGCCATTTTTCGACCTTAAATCGCGATAAAGAACGTGCTAAAGACTTCTTAAATTGCTTCTTTATAAAGACGCTGCGAGTCATTAATACAGAAGCAAGCCTGATGAGCTTCGAAGCAAAAGAAGAAAACGAAGAATGGAAAAAAGACGTAAAAAGATGGAAAAGTCTGAGAGGATGGTAAGTATCCCTTGAAGCACGATACTACTCCATGGATCTCCGGCGGTAAAACTAACGGCTTTTTAAATTTTACAGTATTCTCAACGTTCAGTCATTAATTAAACGATAATTTACCGACACGATTATCGCGTAAAAAGATCCCTTTAAACCTTTCTATTGAGATAATTACAAAGCAGAATATATAATGAATTTTCTACCACCCTCCACTATCTCATTTCGAGAGATCACAAGAATATCATTTTCACTCGAAAATTTGCGTAAGATATTAAAGAATAATATTGAAGCAAATTACGTAATAAATATAAATGGAAATTTTTATTTATGAAAGAAGAGCGATGAAAATTTTATCATTTCTTTCTTCGTACATATAATTTTTATAAATCTATCGTAAAAGTTTATTACGTAGATAAATATTTGAAAGGAAATAACGAATATTTTATACAAATTTCCATAGTAATTTATTACGTTTAAGGTGATTTATGGATTACAATTAATTAATTTTTATCGTTTCAAGGTACGGAAATTTATCAAATATGAACCCAGAAGAATCTTTATTTTTCCTCTCTAAAGAAACTTTGATAGATGCGTATACGATAAAGTAAATTAAATATCGATAAAATAAACGAACTGGAGATTAATAAATAGAATCTGATATAACACTTCAACTCCAGGATGATGCTAATCTTTATTTTTTATTCAATGATTCATACACCAACACGTGGCCATCTTGTTATTTGCTTATTTTCACGTTTTCTTTGCAGAATTGAGCAATATAAAACTTCAATATCACACGATGTTTTACAGCTTCGTCGAGTAATTTTGAAAAACAAACGAGAGCTTAAAATATGGAACAATTATTTTCAATAACTGTTATCGTATTACATTGTCGGTATTGCTCTCTGTAATCAAAATCGATTACAGAGAAATATTTTGTATTTTGTTGATAAAACTTCACGAACAGGGATAAAAATAGAATATTTTTAATATTCATGAATTTATTAAAAGCAACAACCAACGTACTCAACTTCCTCTATTTACAAAGCAAACTCTCGAAGAAAAATGGCGTCTATACGTCCAAGACAAAATAACGTAAACGTGTATAAATTTATTTAAAAGTAAAGAAAATTAATATATCTCATACTTACAATTTATTAAACAATATTATCATCGAAAGAACAAAATTCTTGCAAGAGCTACCAAGGAAGTAAAAACGACTCGGTTTAGATATTTTAATTCTATAATTTCAAAAAACATATAGCAACGTTCGACAAAATTAATGGTGACTTTTATATATAACATATTTACCTACCTATCATAGTTAATATCTCTAGTGTTATTGTACAAAGTAAAAAGAAAGCTTCACAAACTTTTCAAAAATGGTGGTCAATACGTTCCCTATTTTCCAATCTCTTTGAACCAAAAAATTCTCTAATAAGAGCATCAACCACATCCAAAACGGGACAAACAGAACCATCGATTTTCGTAAACGCGATCGACCACGACGCGCGACTCGAATTTCGCGGGCGGAAGACGGCGAAGCGGAAGAAACTCGTGGCTAACAAACGAAAATAGCGCGCGACTTCTGTCTCGTACGCACGTATGTATAATGCAATTTCGTGCAATCCGCAGGCCGGTAACGCGACACCTTTATGTAATCCAGAGTCGGCAAACAATAAACTCGACGGCGTGTTTTCCTCGATACATGTATTCACCGAGCACAACCGGATGTCGCGAATTTTTCGCGCGCCACGTTCGAATTCGTTTCTCGATGCTACCGATTATTTTCACGTGTCGTGCAGTCTGAGAGCTCGTGAAATGCGACCCTTATGAAGGTCATTAACGCGTTAATAACAATAATTAGCGAACTCTGGCGCGGTTCTTTATCGCGTTAAATGGCGAGTCGTTTGAAAGAAACGTTAAGTAAAAGAGTTGGTGAATAAACTGCTTGCGGCTTATGTAAGCGTTACTTGGCAACATGTAAATATTCACCAACACCTCTCGTAGTCCGTTGTTTGATAAGGTAACGAGAGTCGAGGTTGTAATATTAGTCTAGGACAGGATCGTGCCTCACGGAGCTTGTAATTTAACCCGTGCTTCGAATGGTAATGGAGGATGGCAGTGCATGATGGAAATTAATACACAAAGTTACTCGATTTTCGTTCGCTATTTTCTGCTGGATTCTGCAAATGGAGAATTTCTTGGTTTGTATGTTTCGGTTTCCGAGCGATTTCGTGAATATCGAATTTTGGAGAATGTTACGAGAATACTGAATTTATAGGAAGTATGTGGTAAGCTATTTGCACTAGATATGTAGTAAATAGAGTGTCAAATTAAAGCGAAATATTCGTAGAAATTAAAATAACAATTGAGCAGAATTTGAAATGCTAGTGGATTTTTCAAATAAGATTCGAAATTTCTACAGGTGTATATTAAGATGGAAATATGCAAATAAAATTTATAAAATAGTACTTAAAATTTTCAAAAATATCTAAAGACATAGAAATGTTATTTATGAAACAATTTTTTAAATTTCGGAGAAAATTTTGGAGAAAATAAATCTCACTTACAAAACAGCATTTCAAATTTTAAGGGAAACCTAAAGACGCACAGATAACTACGCTTCACAGAACAATACGTGTCTCTAATCACGCAAACAATAGACTTCACATACAAAACGCTACCTACAACCTGTGCAAAAAATCTTTAAACATATATATCCATACATCTATATATTTATGTACCTATACGCCTACAAATACATCCATATATCTATATATTTATATATCTAGATGTTCATATGTATATACATCTAGGTATCTGCATATCTATGTATCTAGACATCTATACATCTATACAACCAATATATGACTTTAACCAACCTTCAAAACTAATTAAAAATCCTCCCTCCCTATGAGACCAGTGCACTACAGCAAAGTTTCACGTAGCCGGACAACACACAGAAACGAGCGGAATTTGCCAAAAACTACTCTGCAAACCCTCGTCCATCACTTGGAACTTGCGTAAAAATTCCCAACCGATAAACCCTTCCCTTCCCTCATCGCGTACACATCCGCCCAAATATAACCACTTTAATCCTCCATCGAAAACAGAGGCTCCGACGCTACGGATCGCTCGCAACGAACCGTAAGAAGAACTAGTAGGGAAAAAAAGGGGGGGAAAATGAAGTCGGAAATCCGTAGAACGCGTTCGAACGGAAGCGTCGAGTGGTCGTTCGAGCGCGTCCCATTTTAAAGCGGATCTCCGCGTTCGCAGGACAACCTGTTGAACGAATCCTTAAGGCGACGTCGCCGCGAAAAATCTTAACGTCTCCTCCTCTTTCGCTCACCACGCCGCTCGCGTCGGCTATTCGCGCGCGAATCCGCGAACACTCACTTTTCTCTAGCATCTCCGATGACTTCCGGTTCCGTGCGGGTGGCCAGAAATCCGCCACGCTGGCCCGCGGTCCGCGATTACGAACGAACCTCGAAGGATGACCGAATACTGAGAGGCGTCGCGACGCCCGACCACAGCGACGCCGCCATCGACACGGTCTACGCGGCGTTCGACTACGCAGAAGCCGGCGGATTCAGAATAGTCGCGTGACGCGGCTACTCGCACGGAAATTCGCACCAGAACCGATCCTCGAGTCGAATGTGTATAAACGCGATTAAACGTGCTTTTATTTTTCTTCTTTATTAACCATTTGCCTGGTATTTAGGGATATCGTGGGGTGTTACGTGGTTACGGGACTTGGCTTTTTTGGCTTGCGTTTGCTTTAGCGAATGGAGTGGTGGTAAATGGGGACTGTAAATAGAGGAAGGTATAGGGAATGGGATTGATAGTAGAGAGCAACGAGGAGAATTTTGGTTTCTGAATTTTTTAGATGTTTTTGGATTGTTGGATATAGAGGTTTTACGGGAGATGTAGGTATATAGAAATACAGGTTGCCCTCCTATAACACGGTAGATAGGTTCCTAGAAAATGCCGCGTTGTGTGACACCGTGTTGTATGAGACTCAGAGTCAGTACAGAAAGGGGGGTTACGTTCCGAAAACTTACCAGAAACAAATTTTTTTTTAATTCTACATAAATAACTTAATTTTTATTAAAAATATAAATGTATGTACAAGACAAAATAAAAAAAAGAAAAATATTATTTTAATTTAATAAATTTCTTCGTCGTCACCTCTCATGTTGAAGTACAGTGCTGTACAAAGGTTTTCGCAATTTTCTTATTGTGTTAGAGCGAAACCGTGTTATAGGATGGCGTGTTGTAGAAGGGTTCCCGCAATTTATGAATCGTGTTATAGTGAAACCGTGTTATAGGATGCCGTGTTGTAGGAGGGCTACCTGTATATGTTTGTATGGAAAGATTTGCTATGGAAGATTCCGTTTTCTTGATTTTCAAATTAACTTTTGAATTTTCGGACAGATTTCATAAAAGAAATAGATATACAATAAATATAGGTAGGTATATTGTATTAGCATGACAAAAACATGTATATACTTAATATAGATTATATGTTTGCTCTAACTCGTTTACATATTTGATTATGCATTATTAAAATTAGCTGAATTTATAATATCTATACGAAACGATGAAATATGATGGAAATTGATTCCGTATATTTTAATCCGATAATTTATCAAGCTTTTAATTTTGCTTAGTCATATCACCACGCAGTTTGTTCGATATGAAGCTGATTTAATCTCGTTCAATTTAAATCTCTATTACGGATTTAAAAGTAAGTGTGAAATTTCTGTTGCGATATTGAATTATTGGAAAATTGCCATTATATTAAATTCCTCGTGTGTTCGACTCCCATTCCATTGAAATTACATCAAAATTAAGTTACGTTAAAATTTCGGTGAAAAACAATGCAAATAGTATCAAAAGTCGTGTTCTGTTTCTGTTAAACGTTAGTATAGGTCAGTATGGATCTACATGGCGTACAGTGTGTTAATTATATCTTCGAGCATACTTGTACAGGAGATACGGATTTCCACTGATATTCCATTAAAATTATATTTATGCAAATTAAAATAATATTTATGAAAACTTTATGTTCCCAATGATGATTTCCTTAAACCATAATTTTATTGTTTTATTATAATATTTAATTTCATCATTTGTTACATACTTATAACAATTTCAATTATTTTATAGGATTTTCTTTAATATTTCAGAATGAATTTTATTCTTTTATTTTCGTTAGGTTTATTAAATTTATCGTTACTCTTTATGACGCTGTATAATGTTCTGTATTGTCTAACATTTGAAAAAATAATTAAATCGTGCTTTCTACAATTTATTTGAAAAGTTTATTACTGAAAAAGACACGCAATCTAGAAATTGAAAGAGAAGAACGAAAGAATTCTGTTACGACAAGTCGAGTCCCTTTGACTAAGAAAAAACATGAGCAATTAAGTGTCAAAATAATTAGATGGTGCGCGGAACGAATAATAAGAAAGGAAACTAACCAGCCGTTGATTTTTACAAATTGAAATAAATAAGAGAAAATGAAAAATTCGATTTTTAAAAAGAAATTTATAAATAAATTATTCTCGTATTTATAAGCAAATGTTTTCGTGAAAAGTGAATTTACACTTTATACAACTATACCTGCTACGACTATCTCTGTATATTGTTTCTCTTCCCTAAATATTCTCAGATTTTCAATTAATTTTCGATTAAAATGCATGCAGCAATTAACTAAGCAAAGTAATGAAACGCACCTTTCCCAAATAGAAATCCCTTGCCGTATTTCAAAGCACTGTCAATCTCGTGCAGAAGATCGTTCTCATTGTCATTTTCCTTTGTGGCAAAACCATAACCATATCCTTTAAAAGAAGCATGCCGAAGCGGTCCCAAAAATAATATAAATAAAAGATTAAACACTATAATCTCTAAAGTGCAATTCAGCGATACTCTGAAGCGTTAAAAATCATACGTGGAATATTTACTAGCCTTCTCCACTATCCAGAAAATTTAAACATGATCTCACCGTTTCCAAATCACCAAGTGTGAATAACCATCAAATTATTTTTAACGAGACACAAATAAGAATTACAACTCGAGATATTTAAATCAAACCAATAACTGTCTTCAAAAGAATAACTCTTTATTTTCGAACCTTTGATATTTTAATTTCCATCCAAACTTCCATAATTTTTGATTTTTTATTAATCAAACGAGAAATGTACTTATAATTAAAAGACTAGAAATTTTCATCATTAAAAAATAACGAATTATAATAATTTTTATTCCTGATTCTGATTAAAATATTTACCATTTATAACTTTTAATTGACTACGTGAGAAATAAGATGATTAATTATAATTATCAAAATTATAAACTCCTTTATTAAAAATTATCAAAATATAGTAACAGAATGAAATAGAAATTCAATATCTAAAAATTCTTCTATACTTTTTATAATACACATCGTACCTTTGTAATAAATATTCCACGTTCGTATCGTGTTAGTAATATAATAGTAGCCAAGCTGTTATTACGTGATTACGCTTATTACGCGAAAGCATAAGCAATCAATGACTTCGTGTAAAAAATAAAATAAACAAAACGTTTATTGACGGAGCATGAAGAATGGGCCTAAATATTCCCTAGAGATCAAAATGCAATATTTACAAAAACTCGTTGAGTGTTTCATTCGCTCTCGGATTTTCCCAAATTTTCATCTCCTATTTCCAAACCAATATCACGTGTAATGAGACGATAAAAAAAGAGGGTATTTGCGTAGACAAAAAATATTGGAAATAATTCAGATTTGAACCTACTCTTCAAATGTTTACTTGAATCCCTATTTATTTGAAAAATTCGCGAATAATCCATGGACGTGCCATGCGTTCGCAATAATTCCAATTTCGAACGAAACACGGTATTCCAAACGAAATCGCTGAGATCCAATCACTTATACCTAGAAACGGCATCAATTGCCGTCAATATCGACAACGACCCCAAAGTTTCGTTGTTAGAACGAATTTCAAACTATCCTACAAAATAATACTGGTTAACTGGGTCACTCATCCAAGAACTTCCTCTACACGTTCAGTTGTCAGTCGATTCATTTCGTACATAAGATACGTAAATAATGTACCACTAAAACCTGAGCAAACAACGATGTTCAAATAAATTCCTCCAACTTTCCACATATTGATATTGACCATGCGAATAAACAGATAATTTCATTCTCTATTTATAGAACTAAGAAATGTTTATCTCTAGATGTATATTTATTTCTTTTTCTTTTTTTTCGTAGTGTTTAGTGCCTCCAACATTGATTGTACTGGATGTCTCGTTGAGAAATTTTTACTTCGAGAGTGTAAAATTGATTGTAAATTTATCGCGAATAAAACGTGAAATTGTAATAAAATGTTTGAAAGAAGTAAAGATATAATTGGACTAAATTGTATTTGCAAAATAATATTTCAGACCTTTAGAAAAATTTATATAAAGGCGCAAATATGTGTAATAAATGGCATTTATAAAATAATAACATTTTTAAAGAAACCTATAAATATTTAAAATTCCAAAGGGTTTACTGACATATAAGTAAATGTCATTTCTAATGTGGAACATTAAAAATTGAAAATAAATCTATAAATGCACAAGTGACTACCATTTATAAAGCAATAATGAAAGACTATAACCCCACAGACAAGTACCATTTTTAAAACGATATTTGTAATGCCCAAATATCAACAAATGCCATTTATAAAATAACATATTCAAAATTTCAAAAGCCGATAAATGCACAAATAAATCCAATTAACGAACCACTATTGAAAATTCAAAGACACCTACAAACACTCTAACTAATCGTGCCATTTATAAAGCAATACACCAAACCTCGAACTACGATACAAGCAAAACAAACATACAGACGACCAATGTTCACCTAAATTCCACGATGGATCTCGTCCCAAATATTGACCACTCGAATAAATAGCCAACTTCATTCTCAGACCTCCACTTATACGGCTAAGAAGTATTTATCTCGAGCATCTATTTCGATAGCTGCTGGCGTGGAGTTCGACTGTACTGGTCGAAATGTGGCGGGTTGAAAAGGGTGAAGGTTTTTCGAAGGTTCCACCAACGGATGTAACAGTCGGTGTCGCAATTTGTTGGAAATAGCCAAAATCGAGACGATGGTTCCGCGGAGCTGGACGCGCGACGAAATGTTCTACGAGCGCTGGCCTATTTTCCCGATCAGGCCTATATTTAGGCTCTCATTCTCGAATGAATCATGAACGCGTTGCAACCGACCGACCAGCCTCGACTGGTCCTACTCGTCCGACATCCAGAGAAAAATAAATCCTACCAGGTGGGTATTTATCTCGATGACAGAGGGGTAATTTCTTCCCTTGTTCTTGGAAACCGATACCCCAGAGCACGCGAGTCTGTGCTGTTAGCTGGCTAGACTGACGGGGAAAGTCACTTGGGATTCTTGGGAGACTTGGATGGTTAACACTGGTCTTTGAGCGTTGGTCCAGCTGTTTGTTAATTGATTCCTTGCTATGCGAGAACATTTGTATACTTGTAATCTGTCAATTGAGGATGCCTCGTGGTACTTAGAGAGTCAGGCTGAGGCGAAACAGATTTTTTAAGACGATTTGTAAGTATATGTATAAGGATTCGAGACTGCTGTCAGAATGGATTTTGAACTAAAAAATTACCTAAAAAATTATCTGTAATATTCGAGATGTATTTTCTATCGCAGTAGTATTTTCTCTAGGTATTAATTAATATACACGAGTGTTTATCTGTTATTTAGATCAAATATTTGTAATCTCTCATATAACGAAAATAAAATAAGAAAATGTATGTAATATTTATGCAAGTGTATGTGTACACTTCTAATAACAACACACATTCTCGACATAAAATTTTACAATATTGTCAGCCATGCTTCCCTATATTTAGTTCACGTGTGCTGAACCTTCTATAGGACAGAAATAAAAATATAACATAAAATTCCACGTGATACGAAAAAATATATAAAAATTTACGAGAACAGAAATTCTTATAGCGTTATATAGTAGTTCTGTGTTCTAGCTGTAACGATAACCTACGACCTGCGCGAAAGCCAACAAACTTATCTCCCGGCATTTCCACTTTATTGGCAAGAAACCAATCCGCTTCTCGTCTATCGATTCAACGTATAGCCCCTCGTGGTACCCTATTTCCCGTTTCATTATGTTTTATGAGGTCTAAACGGTCCAAAGAACTTCTTTTCAATTAAATTCGAATCAATTTCTTAACGACGACTTTGAAAATGAATTTACATACAACCCGAACTGCGTTTGCACTCCTGGCCATGCTACTTTCACGCTGTGTGTCTTGTATCGATTCAGACTTTAAAGAGTGCAGTATTAATTATTTGGATACCAAGAATTGTTTGTGAAAGTCAGACGGTTTTGAAAAACTATTCAGTGTAAATTTCTATTATTTAACTAGATAAACCATTATCATGCTGGAAGGAAGTGATTCACGACTGAAGAAAAATAACCACATAAACGAGTAGCATGAGAAAATGTAAGACACGTCATGTTGCGGCTCATTGACCACAATTACATATGCCAGAAGATGATATTTCTTATAGCCTAAAACCCGATATCTTCTACAAGCAATTGGAGTTATCTGGAATAGTCGTAAACAAATGTACTTTTATCGAATATTTTGTAACTACAGAAACACACTGAGCGGAATATTTATGTGCCATAGTGACCAACTTTGATATGGGACATCTGAACTAGATGTGATTTAGAAAACTTTAAAGAAATTAAGTAAATATTCGCTGCAATACGTATTCTGTAAATAACTGAAAAATGGATACCTTCTAAGAAATTACTATGCAAAAAATCACCATTGAAATAATTGGAAAATAAAATTGAATAATAATCTATTATACAGTGGAAATGAAATATTTCTCCGTACAAAGTAAACTAAATATGTGAAATAAATCTGTTTCGTACAAAACCTCGTTCTCAAGGAATACCGTACATAGTTCTATCTACTTATTATAATACTGAAACCAATTTTAGGACAATTTTCATTCAAGTAAATAAATAAATAAATTATACGAATGTGCATGTGCAATTAACGTATCATTACCTTCACGTAACAATTAAATCAACTTTTAATAAAAATGCGAGTATGAAAACGTACATCAAAGAAGAAACTTCATTCATTACCTCGAATTCGGCTGGTTCAGATGAATTCAGCTAGCCTAAACTTAACCAAACGCCCAGAGTTGCAGGTAAATAAAATCGGTAAACAATCAAATACTCGTCAAAGGAATAGCCACTTTGATCTCGCTTTATTAATTTGTTTTTGGGATACGAAGTGTCAAGGAATCGATCATCGACATAGACATGTCTGTCTGTACGTCGAGACTTGGTACATTTTCATTCGCGAGCACTGACCACAACGTAAAAAATTTTAATTTAAATAAAATTTTAATTTAAATAAAATTTTTCACTTGTCATTCGACGATGTAATTAAAAATAACAGATCTTCGCTATTATTTTATAAATCGCTCGAAATGTTGCTCTCGAAGTGTTATATCAATTTAAATTCGAACGTTGGGCACTCGTATAACGTGACAGCAATGTAATAATAGGAAATAAAAAATATTTCCAACTTTTTGCTCACCAAATATTATTCCTTTTTACGTCCAAAAAAAAGCTGTTATATTTTTAACGTTTCCGCCATTTTCCATATTTTAAATTTTTTGAGATGTTATTACTATCGATTTCGACGAATTCTTTCTCCACGTGCAAAAAGAAGTAAAAAAGAAGACAAAAAGAATATGTAATAATATTATAGAATAAGAAAAAAAGATAGAAAATAAGGAAAAAGTAGAGGTAAATAAAAAATAATAAAAACAATAAATTAGACACTCTCAAAATCGAAGCTCTGTGCGGAAAAACATTCACTCCGCGTATTCAAAAAGTGCAGAAAACCATTTTCCCACATTAAGATATATCCAGTGGAATAAAAATCCTGCAGAAATGACGCATATAAAAAACCAAAGTAAAACCGAAAGAGAAAATGGTAGTGAACCAAAAGTAACATCAAAGAAAAGGGGAAAAGAAATCATTCGTTGATTATCGTTAGTGACGAGCAGTACGACAAGCACGGAACACCTACGAGAATGCAATCCACGACAAAGTGTATGAACGTGCGTTAGTGATTGTTATCCAATTCTCGACACGCCGACGTATCTGTGAAATCCAAAATCAGGCGATCAACACTCGGTCTGAATTGCAGCAAATCGAAAACAACGACGAGATAACACAGCAATCCTCGATTCGCCGGGACTCACCGTCGTCGAAAGTGGCGGACATTTTGAGGAACTCTTGCAGGTGCTTGGGCAATTTTTTCGCGTCTTCGAACTCCTTCCCGTCGATCAAGCATTTCGCCTTCACGATATTCTCCTCTTCCTTCCACTCCATCTTTCTCTCGTCCCTCTTTCTGTCACCTCTACCGTCACCTTTGACATCGCCTTTCGAGTCACCTCTCGGGTCATCTTTGCCGCTACCTTTCCCGTCACCTTTGCTATCGCTTTCCGGTTCACTTTCGTCCAAATTAATACCGAACTTGTTCAACCTGTTCCTCGCCTTCTCGATGAACTCTTTCTCCACGGAGCTCATGCCACTCTTCTCCAATTTCTTGTTCTTCCGAATGTCGTCATGCGTGCTGATCTTCACCACTTTATGATGCTTCCGCTCCTCCCGCTCCAGAACCTTGTGCACATACTCGTCGTACATCCGCCTACGAAACGCCTCGCCGTTCACCACGACTGCCGCCGCGTTTGGTTTCTCCACTCCGACGGTCTTCCGACCGTTTGATGTCTGGGATGACGTATTTTCCTTGCCGGGGCGGTCCGTGGTCGTTTTATCTTCGACGCGAGCCCTTTCAACACCGTTTCCCACCCTCCATCGATCCTCCTTCTTCCTTTCAGCGACTCTGTCGCCCCTCTTGGTAATCACGGAATGTTGTTCCACGTGCTCGATCTTCTCGCACGATTCTTCCTCGTGGAAGCCGTTCTCGTCACGCACCTTCCTCACGAAATCCCTGTGACCGTGTTTGTCGATCGTCTCCGACTGATTTCCATCCACGTTCTTCGACTTCTCCTGCCAGCTCTCGCTCTCCACCTTCGAACCGTCGTCCTTGGGCTTAGCCTTCGAGACGTTTTCCCTGAACCGAGGAGACTGCGGCCTGTCTGGAACACGAGGCTTCTCGGCACCGTTCCTCTCGACGTGGATCAACTTTTGTTGCGCTGGCTTCTCCGCGTGAGTCTGCAATTCCTCGAATGCCTCCTTTTCCTCTTCTTCGGCCAGTATCACGTTCTTCAACTGATTCTCCAGCAGTTCTATGTACTTCAACTGCTGCGCAAAGTACTCCTGAGGTAGGGAATACTTCCGATGACCTTCCAGGTGACTCTCGGTCTCTGTCTGAAGCTTCCTCAGATTTTGCATGATCTCCGTAGCCGCCACGTGCTTCAGGTTCTCCTCACTCTTGTATCGACGAGGTTCCAGGTGACTCCTGGGTGGGTTCTGGTCGAAAATGCTGGTCGTGTCGATACACGATTTGTCCACGTTCACTACACGCTTCACTCGCGGCGGAACCTCGACTCTGTCGTCGATCAGAGCTGGATTCACGCAGTAACGCGGATCGATAGTCCTTCGCGGAGGTGTCTTCTTGCCGGCGGTGTCTGGTATGTCCGACGATCTGTCGATGATAGCGCTGTTCAGCGTGATAGGGCTCTTGCTGAAAGGCGTGGTGCTTCTGACCGGCGGCTCAGGCCTCTCCGGCGAATTCGCGATCAAAGGCGCGCTGATAAAATAGCCTGGCGTTGCTCGTTTGCCATACTCGTAGGTCATATCTAGGTCTTTCGCAACCTCCGACCGACTGCCATGAATTCGGCCGCTGATTCGGCTCTTATCAGCCTCTTTTCCCTCAGCCGACGGTTCTATTAATAAATCATCGGAGAGCGATGTCGCGTGGCAAGGCGTATCGGCGGGCTCGCGTCTCGCCAAGTTCAGCCAGTCGCACAGACGAGTGGCCTTGAGACGCTCCTGACCTTTGTCGAAAGCGCTAGACTTGGTGTACGAGGACTTGGTATCCGAGTAACTCGAGTCTTCGAACGTCACTCTCGATTCGTTCGATGGCTTCGCGGTGGGCTGCTGTTTCGAACTGTCGGAATTCTGCTTGATGATGTCTAGCAGTCTACAGGCGGACTTCCTGTTCTGAGTCGTTGACTTGGCAGGTTCGACTTTTGCCTCGCGTTTGTCGTCGGTTTCGACGATAGGAAACAGGTCCACTTTGTATTTGGGGACAGGTATTCGCAGAGGTGGCTCTTCCTCGAAGTAGCTGTGCCTGTTGATGAACTTTCTGTGCAAATCCAGCAAATTGTCCGCGCTAGTTTTTATCGCGGCCCTCTGTTGCGACGGTGAGAGACACACGAGCAACCTGGGGTCCTTGGTCGTCGACAGACCTACCCAGGTTCCCGAATTGTCTTTGGCCATGGCCGTTTGTCGCGACTTGGATAAATCGACGTCGAGATTCGAGTCGCTTACGTGCCGTTCCTCCTGTTCTAATTGCTCTGATTTATCCTGGTCTGAAACAGTGGTTTTGCACGGGTCAAAGCGGCGCTTTGATCCTGGCGAAGCTGTCGTTAGTTTAGCTCTTTCAGTCTGCCGCTCACTCACTCCATGCATGTTTAATGGGATGCCTCTAATCTCGCTGCTCGTTACGGTGTTAGCAAATTTCGGGATAGTTCGTAGACTTTCGAAGATGTTAAATTTAGGCACCGTGATCTCGTTGATCACGTGAAGTCCGTACGGCATCGACAGGATTTTCTTAATGCAAAGGTCTTTCAGTGACTCTGGCCCGCCCGTCCACTCACCTCTCTCCGAACGATTTTTCACGTAATTCGTGCCACTCTCCACGGGCACGTAGTACAAGTCTTCCACGGGTGAATAGGGTATAGGTTCCGGTGTCACCTGTATGTCGTGTCCGTTCGCCACGCTATTCGTCGAATCGTCTCCGTTCAGCAAAGGAAGTCTGCTTTTCAAGCTGGACGACACCACCTCCCTCTCAGCTTCTCGCTTTGCCTCGCTCTTCCTCGCTTCTTCCGCTATTATCGAGTAAACGTCCGTCTGCCAGCTTTCCATCGGGTTATACTTCACGGTGCTCAAAGTGGTCGCGCTGCTGGACGAGTCGTGACCTTGGCAATCGACCGCCTCGTGCTTCTCTTTATCCGTGGAATGCTCGCCCGATGCTCGATCCACCTTCAGAATAGACTCCAATACTCTAGAAGGGGATCCGTGCTTCTCGCTTTCCTTCCGATCTTCGTTTTCCTGTCCATCGTCGCCCCTCGAAGTGGAATACCTGTATATCTCTTCGAATTCTTCCTCGCTGGTCGTCATCTCCTTGGTATCCCTTGAAGTCTCCAACCTGTTACCCCGTGTTCCCAAATGTCGCATGAAAGACGTTTCCTCCTTCGTTTCGATGGTCTTCGTGCTCGACGTTTCGTTCTTGATAACCTTCCTGTGAACATGATGACGCGAGTGTGTCTCCTTCGATCCAACACCCTCGTCCGGCCGTTTTCCCTGGACCTCCTCCTTTTTCTCCTTGGAAACTCTCTTTCTATCGGACTCGTCGGATTCCATCGCCACTTTCGCTATTCGTTCGACCGGTCCGTTCTCGCGAGATTTTGCCGACGACTCGAACAACGACGATTTTTCGCGTGTCGCTCGATCCACGCAGTCGGTCGTTATTTCAAGACTTGTTCCATTGCCAAGCCCGGCGCCGCTCTCGACGTAATTGCGCAATTCGGCAATGTTGTCACTCTCGAGACAGACCCTCCTCCCGCCAGCCCTTAGATCATCGATGATCTTGCGAACGTTCTCGGGCAGAGCTAGCGCGTCCACGTTGCTTAAAGCGTCGCGAATATTTTCGACGGTCGCGTCACTGCGGGATATTATCGTTAATAAAGTCCTCAGAGTGCCAATGTTCTTGCTCATCGTCTCCGAGGGAAGTATTTTGGAATTCTGTTGCGAAGATTCGTCCGTCGCAGAGAGATTTTCCTTTGGAAGAGGTGGACGACTCGGTGGGTCGTTATTGGCCTCCTCGGTTTCCCTTTTCCGACGAACAGGAGGAGTCGGAGGATTATCCTCGCGAATACGGGAACAGACGCCTGTTTTCTCTTGGTGATCGGCATCTGACAAGCTGGACGTTCTTTTGGGGGGCGTTGGCGGACGTGGTTTATCTTTGGTGCACGTGATATCGTTCATCGATTGCAATTCCGAGTGTTTGGTCTCTATGGAGCGAGATTTTAACGTCGATGATGATACGTTGCTGCTCGTCACTTTTGTCACGATTGATGCTGACGTGTTCATGTCACTCGATTCGACGCAGACTTCGTTTCGCGAGTTGCTTGCAGATGAATCAGTGGCAGATGACTGTGTATCGGCTTTCACCGAGATTGGTTCGTTTTCCGACACTTTGGCAGCTTTATCTCTCGCTGATGTATCTATTTCTGAACTTTGCGTCGCATTTTCCAGCGCCGATTCTTCCTTTTTTAGTAATTCCTCCACCGACGATTCGTTTTTAGAACCTTCGTCATCGCCAGACTTCGATTTATCTTTCCCTGCTGATGTATTTGCTTCTGGATATCGCGTGTCTTTCTTCGACGCCAATTCTTCCCCTTCTTTAATCTTTTCGACGCAAGTCTCGGTTTTAGGATCGATGCTATCATTGTTTGTTTCTGATTGTTCAATTCTGGATTCTTCTGTCGCTACTTCCGAAGTATTTTGATTTTCAACTGATTTTAATTTTTCATCTTCTTCTTCTTCGCCTGGATTCTCTGTTATTGCACATTCGCTGGCATTTGAGCTATCAGTAGCATTCATTTGCTCCTCCTCCGACTCGTCCGTATTCACGGTAGCTTTCTCATCGGTTATATCCGAAGGGTTTTGATATTTTATCGATTTTAATTCTTCGTCTTCGCTTTCTAGATTCCCCGTTATTGCACGCTCACTGATATTTGAGGAATCGGTAGTTTCCGTTTGTTTCTCTTCTGACTCATCTTTATTTACGACATCTTCTCGAGCAACTACGTCTGAAGTCTTTTCATCTTCGACTGATTTCAGTTTCGTGTCTTCGTTCTCCAAATTCTTTGTTATTGCACGTTCACTGATATTTGCAGTGTCAGGAATTTCCGTTTGTTTCTCTTCTAGCTGATCCGTAGTCGCGGTAGCCTCTAGAACAAGTGACCGCTTTAAGATTTCTTCTTCTTCAACACCGATAACCAACGTTTCATCTTCTTCGTCTAATCGTTCGTCTCTTGAAACTTGAAATTCTTTCTGCCCACCGTCAGACGACGTTTGATCCTTCGTCTTCTGTTCGCCATTCAACCCAGGTTCACTTAGACCCACGCCATCGTCTGTTTTCAATATTTCATCCCGGGACTCTTTTTCGGACTTTCTATCGTTATCAACCTCACTTCGCAATTTTCCCTCGCACTGCTCAGTCCTCGCCACTAATTCCTCCTCCTCCAACTCGTCATTTCCCGTAGATTCATCCGCGACATTAATCTTCGCATTTTTCTCCCCCGAATCTCCCGCATCGTCACTTTCCTTTAACTTTAATTCCTCCAGCCTCGAGTCCTCCTTTGACGTGTCTTCATCCGCTTCGCCAATCGCTTCCAACTCTTCCCTCGTTTCCACTCTTTCGCTCGCAGTCTCCATTTCACCCGACTTTACATTCTCACCCACATCGAGCTTCCTCTCAGACTCCTCCCGTTGACCAGACATCTCGCCCCTAACTTCGTCCACGTTGATCACATTTATCGTCACACGGTGCCCCACCACTCTAACCTGCTCTTCCTCTCTTTCGAAATGCTCCTGATCACTTCGATCGTAGCACCGATCCACCCTTCGATATTTACCGATCTCCTCGTTGATGAAATCTCTGATGTGCTGCTCCTCGTCTTCCGACAGCTTCTCGCCCTCCTCTTGAATGATGTCCAAGAACCTGTTAGCCGCTTGGGAGTGTGCGTGGTATGCTTCGAAAGCGGCGCGTTTCCTCACTTTCTTGTGCGTCGAGCCACTGACGAGCCACTCCGTCGATCCACGCGATTCCTCCACGTCCTCCGCGTAACTTGGCAATTTTAGCCCCTCGATGAAGCTCCTCAGCTTCCTCTCCACCTCGCGCGGCATCACGCTGTCCCAGGCGTGCGTCGCGTCCGCAGACCCACGTCTCGACGTCTCAGTCTCGTCGAGACTCGACTCTGACCGCGTAGCCAGCTCCGCTGGCTCCCTTTCAGCGTCAGACTCCATCTCGACGATGACCGGGTTCGAGCTATCGGTCTCCACCGCGTCGCTGTCGCTCACGTCGCGGATCTGCAGTCTCTCGTTGCTGTCTGTCAGTGTCTCGCCTTCGTCCTGCTCGATGATCGTCTTCGGGACCTTGGTCGGGGACGAAGGGAACGGTTCCACGGGTTCGGAAATCGTCACGATGGCCCTGCTCGAGGTCTTGTCCTGACTGCCGGTCTCCACGATACCTACTCCGGGAATGTGGTCGATCTGAGCTTCCAAGGGTGAACTACTGATAGTAGTGATTTTCATAACCTTCACGCCTGGCTGTACCGTGCCCTTCTCTATCTTGCGTTTCTTCTCCATGGTGTATCTGTGAGATCGGGGCACAGGTTCCACCGAGATGGTCTCGTCGTCCTTTGTCGAATCTCTTTCGTCATCGTCCTCGATGTTCAGGTGAGTTTCGTCGCTGTGTACGGTATTCTCCTTGCCGGAGTCGTTCGTCTTCGAGCTCGCAGGGTGTTCGAGGATCTCGCGGACCTCGTCGTGTTCCTCGATGTTCTCAGGATTTTCCACGGTTGTCTCGTCGTCTTTCGCGGCTCTCTCGGGTGTCGGCTGCCTTTGGAAGCGCCTTCTTCCACGACCCCTGCGATTTCTGCGGTTTCGCGTACCGTGTGGCATGCTAATCTCTTCGGTGTCTGTAGCGTACTCCAAGGATTCGCGAAATCCTATGGAATCGCACAATCGGCCAGAGTTTCTATTTTTCTCTCCTCTTTCTCGTTTCTTGCTTTTCTCGTTTCGTCTCTCGTTCGAGGCCTCGCGAAACGCGGTCCGGATTTAACGCGAAAAGGGGATCAGAGCGTTTGGTCGCCGTTTTTAGAAAATATTGCGATTCTGTAACAATGTCGCCTCGCGTGATCTCCTTCAAGGAGATCAACGTGCATCGACATTAGACGGGAAAGGGAATATTCGGTTCCTTTTTGCGTGGAAGAACGGCTACTCTGAGGAGAATCATTTGATCTGTACCGTGGTGCGACGAACTCGATGGAAATCGCGAAATTAGGAAAGATAAGTAGCGCGTATGCTGCTCTTTTGACAGCTTAACTCGAATTTATTAATCGGGGTTAAAATCGTGAAGGAGATGAAATTTGAGCTATAGTGGGTAATTATCGAGACTACTAGTGTTCTATCATTTTGCTAGAATCGTTGAGATAAAATTGCACGAGAGAGATGCGTGTCTCAGAGAGGAACACGTGGATCGTTTCGATGTTCTAATCTAGTTCGATTTCATTTCGAATATTTTGCATGCGTTTATGGCGACGATAGTTAGCGATTGAAACGTAATAGTACTTGGACGATGAAAGTGAATTAGCGCCTGATAATTACATTTCCCCCATGATCGAAACGAGAACAGTAGATGCAGATGTGCACGGTGAATAGAGAAAAGAACTTGACGTTTTGCGATCGTGCAACAAGCGTGACTCATTGTCAGACCAGCATTCCAAAGTAATATTGACTATCGGTCGAAAGGAAAAGATAAAAGTGATGGAGATTCTTACTTTTCTTGGTCTCGTCTCGCTTCTGGATCAAGGAACTCTTCGGACCACCGTTCTGATTGGCGTAGCTCTGATCAGGTTTTGTGTCATCTGGAAAACAAGCACGACACCGTAAGCGTGAGGCATTAATTGAATACGAGGAGGAAGTGTTTATGGTAATTACTCGCTGAAAGGCAGATCGTTATGTAAATGCAAAACTGGATGGAAAATTCAAATGCAGAGATAACAGAATCCTTCCAAGGTCACGCAGAACTTAATAATTAACCGTTCAATTGCGGCAATCGAAACGATAAGAGTTAAATATTAATTCTGTGGAAAAAATGCAGTATGTCAAGTGCAAAATTCAAAAATAGAAATACTAGAATCGTTATCGAATAAAAGATAACACCGAAGTCGATAATAGTCGGCTTTTTAAGTGGAGCAATTAAAATGATAAAAGCTAAACGTCATTTTTGTATGGAAATTTACAATGTATCGAATGCAAAGTTCAAAAATAAAACTAAAACTATTCCCAAACAGAAGATAAGCTCAAACTTAAAATGACGACTAACTATTTATTTAAAAAGAACCAAAGTAACAAAATTTAACTAATAAAAATTGAACAACAATCCCTTGCTCTAGACAAATATAATATGTCGAATAGAAAATTCAAACATAGAAACAATATTTTCCAAATAAAAAATAACACTGTATTTAACCCTTTGCACTCGAGAGGTGCCTCTCAGTCACCATTTAATCAGATTCTAAAGATGGATGATAATTAATATATCAAATTTACAATTACCCAACGATGCGTGGAATATCAAAGCAAAATAATTTTTCGTCTTAATTTGCATACGATTTCTTATTTGCTGTTTTAAAACTATCCTAGACTTTATGGCAGAAAGTCTACGAATTACTATTTTTCTCTAACGAAAGAATCACCGAGTGCAACGAGTTAATAATTAGCTTTTTAACTGAACAAGAGTTTAGTTTAAGCTACTACAAAACACCCATTCCGACCATTAAAAGACCTGTCAATACTCGTATTTCACACAGTCATCCTACACTTTACTCAACAATAACAATATCACGATGAACGCGAATTTAGACTCCATCCCCCAACGATAACCCTACCAAAAAATTAGAAGCCAATCAACCGACATAATCAACGTGCCCAAAACAACGATGAAAAATGACGGAAATTGACACCTTCTAGCCACTTTTGTATCCGAATACTCCGATTACGATTTACACGAAAAATGCAGGCAACGAATTTGGTAATCCGAAATACAAACGACGTGGAAAATATCGACCGTGGCAACGACGAGTTTATTCGGCTCGTCTCCCCCGGTTAAACCGGTCGAACGATCGATGGACGAAACGTAGCTCGAAAATGGACGGAATAATAGCGCACGAAACGGCTGGCGATAAGTAAAATTATTAGAACAGCGACGTTTGCCTGTCCACAGACCTGATGCGTGGAAAATCCATGAACAATCGCGCTACGCTCGCGTGTTTCGACGCCGCTGACAGTCGCTTATGAATTCCGAATTAAACGTCAACGAGCCACAAATCAGCGGCATGGCCTGTAGGGTCCATGAATCGCGGGAATGGACTGAGCGCGAACAGATCCGCCAGGCGTGAAACACGCTCGTGTCCCCACCCACGCGTGCGATCCTCTGTTTGCGCGTGTATCGTCAACGTGTATTGTTTATATACATGCTTACGAATATCAGGGTTTCTCAAACCGTTCTTTCATCCACTTCGTCCGATTACAGGTTAGATCGTAGAGTCAGAGGATCATCGGAAAAGATGATCTGTCGAGGAGTTAGGCAGATTTGTTCCTTGCGATGGCGTTAGGTAATGGTGATTCGTGAACAGGGTGAGAAGGGTTTAGGGGATGGATTTTTGAAACGATTGGGGTGGATTGGTGTTTCTTTGAAAGGGTATTTGTGAACCACTTGCGTTTATGCGAGTTGGTCCAGAGATTATGAAGTTTCGGCTGTTTGATTTTTTGATGGATCCTCGGTCTCGATGTTTCTTCGAGTAATTTTTGGTAATTTCTGTGTTTTTGGAAATGATTTGAAAGGTGGTTTCGGGATTTTGTTGTTTGGGATTGGTTAAGATTCTAGATGTCTTTTAGATTTTATTTTTTGGAACTAGTTGAGATGCTAGTTGTCTGTTAAATTTTGATGTAGATTGATTTTTGTGAAAACAGAATATGGTATTAGAATTTTTATTTCAGTTTAATTCAGATTTGTAATCGGAATATTTGTGCTTCTTCGATTTTATTTTTTTCAAAATTATTGGTTCATATTTCACGCGTTCTATTTACTACTGAAATAGTTGAGAAGTTTAACTATGTCGTTGAATTTATTTCGCAAATTCGAGCTCCTCTATTAAAAATAAAAAATTTCACGAAACAATGGTTCCATAAAACCATAGTCAATGTTTTATACGTATTAAAAATGGCTTGTACTTTTGAAAATTGAATGTTTCATCCTTCAAGTTTTTGAATATTAATGTTAAATATTTTATACCTCCTTCGATGCCAGAAACACAATATTATTTCTAATATTAATATTATTTATATATTTCCTTCGCAATTTTCCTAAACTCTAAAAATAAAAGTACGAAAACAACTACTGTAAATATTAACAAATGAAATTAACTACTATCCTCGTGAAAAACCAGGTGCACTAAATTCCAATTATATCTTTATATTACATTTTCCATGAAACCCAACTTCGTGATATTTTTACATTCTGCTGCTTGCAGTAATTGCACCTATAACTTTATATTTTTACTCTTGAAATACCAATCTCATATTTTCCAAAACCTGTAAACTCCAATAAACATTTGTACTTGTTGCATGAATTTTAATCGTTAACGTGTACAACGATTAATTCGTTTCGAAAAGAGTAAAAATCGGTGATGAAAAGCAAGATAAATCGTTAAAGGAGAAAATATCGTGTACAGAAATAAATTTTATGGTATATGAAAATAGCACAATGCAAATGCAGGATCTAGATCGTGTTAGATAAAGTACAGAGAATACTTCTTGTATACAAAGTGACTGTAACGACATAAACCTGTCCCGAATGTTTGATGGTGCTACTTAGTATCGCGATTTAGTATTAAGATATGCGACGTGTGTGCCAAGCAACGCGTAAGGGAATTAATTTTCCCGAAGACATTAATCGAAGCATCGAAGAAAATAACCTTCTCGCTGTTATATAATTATTTACAAGCAGAAGAAGCTTTTAATATTTTTTAAAACTTCACTTCCGATATTTGTATATATAATAAATCAACTCCAATAATGCAGATTCAATAATAAGCTGCAGCGATAAACCAAACAAACGAAGTAAATCAATTCAGCATTATTATTTATTATATATTATTTATACTACATTTATTATTATATCTTCTTCCATATTTCTACATTTCTATAAGAACTTCGAATCCATAATTCTAGTAATAAACCAAAGCAATAAATAAAAAAAGCTAAATACGTCAATCGTGATTAAAAATCCCAACTATTGTTGTTATTTTTGTTTTTGTTGCTGCTGTTGCTAGCGTTTTTATTTCTGTTATTGCTCCATAATCCCACAACTCCAATAATGAACGAAGAGATAACTCAAATAGGTTAAAAACAGCAATCACGATTGAAAAATCCTACATTGTTATTATAATGGTTGTTATTATTTTTGTTCTTATTGTTGCTGCTGCTAGTGTTTTTATTGCTGTTTATTGCTGCTTATTGCTGTTATGTATTACTCCATAACTCCATAACCCCAATAATAAACAAAGAAATAAATCAAGCAGGCTAAATACAGCAATTACGATTGAAAAATCCCATATTGTTATTATAATAGTTATTATTTTTGTTTTTGTTCCTGTTATTGCTGGTGTTTTTATTGTTGTTATTACTCCATAATCCCACAACTTCGCTAATGAACAATGAAATAAATCAAACGAGCCAAATACATCAATCACGATTGAACAATCTTACGTTGTTATTGTTGTTGTTTTCATTGTTATTTCATTGTTTCGGTTATTGTTACAATTATTGTCCTTGTTGTTGGTGTTGCTGTTACTGTTATTGTTATTGTTGTTATTGCTATTATTCTCGTATCTGCATCCATTCCGAATCATAAGAAAAGCAAGGTACGACGGGCCAGGTACAAAAGTTTGAGAAACGCTGTAGTAGATCAGCCGACACAGGTCTGCGTACACAATTTCGAGTTACGCTTGCTCAGCCAGCCCCCTGAATGACGTTTTTACGTCAAACGTATGCACGTACATACACACGACGCATTAAACACACTGCATCTCGTTTGTCCGTACACTCGATGCACACATCCAACAACCTTTGTGGCGAATTCTGACACACGTCGCTGCGCGGGGTGCGTGTACGCCAGTACTCCCACCCGACCCTCGCGCCGGTCTCATGAATAGTGCCACTTCCGAGTTCAACTTCCTTCCGAGTAAACAATGCCGGCAGAACGACTACTATCCTGAGCACACCCATCCATTTTCCACACTTTTCATTACATCACGCGTCACACACGCCCGTCCGATCAATTCGATACGGGGATGGCGCAGATGGAAACCGAATGATCCTTTTCTGATGGTCTTTTTGCTTCGGTATGATAATTCCATACAAGATTCTCCTAGGTGGATTAGTGACAGGAAGTCTAATTTCTTTGCTTTTCTTTTCTTTTTTTCTTTTTTTTCTTTTTTTTTTTAGAAATTTTGAAGAATAATTTATCGAGCGTGGATATCAGGCGAATTTGTGTACTTGGTAAATAGGGTAGTGGAAACTGAAGATCAGAGAAAAGTGTTGTAAATATTAATTATTTTTCTTTATTTATATTGGAATTTGGAATTACTAGTGTCGTTTCTTTGCAACGAGGAAATTTGATACTCGGTTGTTATTTTAAGAAAATTCACACAAAAATCGTGGATCTGGATAAGAAATTGAGAAGCAGTGAAATTGACGAGCTTGATTTTTGAAAAGCTTGCCTAACGAGTAGACCCTTCTTCGTAGCAGGCATGCATGGGAAAGGAACAAGGGTTTAAGTATATTCCGGTTTAGAGCAAAT